TTACCGCCTGGAGGTCTTGACCGACATGATTAAAACGTCGAGAACTTGTATATTTGAATTCATCTCGGAATCATGTTTTTTATTAATATTTTTGTCTCAAAACGTTTCTATAGCCTGAATTTATCGGTGTTTTGTTACTTTTTCTTTGTTTTTATTAGTATTGAATTTATTTTTATTGCATGAATCGACTAAACTTATAATTACATACTATATTTGTATATAGCTATTAACATATAGACAAAGTTTAATTATATTATTGTGCATATACGTCCAATACAGATGATCATAATATCTATCCTTCGTTAGTTCGTTTCCCGGTAAAAGTAGATATCATTATAGTAAAAAAAATCCAAAATCATACCTATATGTATTATTTACTCTTCAATATTCTACCCTCAACTAAATATATATGTATTTCGTTCTTTTAATATAGATTTCTACCCACAGAACAAGGGGACTATTTCAAACCACACGGTTGAATCAGATATTGAGTGCGCATTATTTTGCAGTCGCTTGGATGACTGTTTTGGATTCGGTTTCAGATCTGAAATTATGAAAAAAGAGGAGATAATGAACTGTCAGTTGGTTAAATGCTATGAGGCCGTCAATATTCATGGGATCCATTATAGTGGATCAGCTTTATGGACATTTTTTCAAACAATTACCTTAGTAAGTTTCAACCTTGTGAAGGCTGCATGTTTTCCATAACAATTAAGCACGCCATCGCGTGTAGGCGTTAACAAATTTTCAACTGAAGGTTGTCACCCGAACCCTTCCCGAGAAGCAGGTGATATGCAAAACAGTCTTTATTTATAAACAAGGCATTTTTGAGTAGTTCAATTTCTCCAAGGTTAACACTTTTGAGTAGTTCAATTTCTCCAAGGTTAATTACGACTGCACCTGCATGCTGACAGTCGGCGTTTGGTTTTATTTTTTTTCTGTGTACTGTTCAAAGTGACTTGTGGCTTGTGCGTTTTATTCGTCAGCGATCACCGACAGTTAGCCATGGACAAATGAAGCCATGATTGCAATATATGAGAACAAAGCTCTAAGTTGGCTCTCACAAATAAAACAATGACCAATAAGATTAGAGTCATTGGTTTCAATACTATTTGCATGTCTACGGCTTAATTTATACGCCGGCTGCAGAAATTGTCATTATTCTAAAATAGCGAACTCGTTAAACATTTAACTGACGAAGGAAAAAATGATAAATGATGAAATTAAAAACATATACCATATTTATTGTTGTAGTATGGGTCAAAAGAAAATCCTGGACGATCTTGTGAAGATATTTTGATGAAAAGATGCAGAGACGATATTAGTGATGGGGTGTACTGGATAACTGTGGGAACAAGTATAAGAATTATTTATATCATTCGTCTTCAGTACTAATACTAGTATTTTGGTATTCATTGACTGTGAAACAACTAAATTATAATAACTCGAAATTTACATAGCGGGACTGGCTGGCTACGCCATTGTTCATCTACCCTCTTTCGCACATCCACAGTTATTATTATTATTATTTAAAAATTATTAAATAGTAAAAGGTTTGGAGTCAGCTGAGATATTTCAGCTCCTCCATATTGCATTTCTTTGTTTTTCCTTTTGTTTTTCTTATGCTTGTGCTTCCCTCGTGTGAACCAGGCTTAAAACTTCAATCTGTGCTGCCTCGAATTTAACATCAACTTGCAATTGTTTTCATCCATCGTCGAAAAAGTTGTAACAAGTTTAGGTCTCGTATCCCACTTCAGGTCCGAAATGAGCATGAAGATGCACAGTTTATTTACCCCCTAATCACTTCTGTATGCTTCCTTTAGATATCGATCAACCATTTCCAGTTTATTGCGATATGGAAAACGGTGGTAAGTGTACTTAATTGTTTAATAAGTGTCCTTCGACCAATTGTATTGAGAATCATGCAAGCATTCTACCAAATATGCATACACTTGTAGGTTGGACTCTTGTGTTCAAAACGATTGCTGGAGAATCAGAAGTGATCGGGAATATTTGGAAAGATTCTCTTACATATGAAGAGTCTTCACTTGAAGCCCTCAATAAAAGAAATTCCTTTAAAAAATATTACAAAAACAGAATTTTGCAAAATTGGACGATGTTTAATCCTATCGAGGTATGTTTTCAGCAGCACGAGCTATATGGGAGCTTCGATTTGTTTTTTGCAACTTGCAGCAATAGAAAACAAATTACTTTTATCTGCTTGATCTTCGTTAATTTTTTGTTTTGTTCAGTTTGTTTACAGCCGGCACTAATAAAACCAGCACTTTTTCTCACCAACTTATATAATCCAGTTTCCATTCTGTCTCTCTTACATCCCTTTTTGTTTTTTGTCTGTTTTTTTTAATTCATTAAATGTATGTACCTCTCGCAACGAAGATATCAGACATGCAGAGCCTAGCTATTTTTCAAGTATTCAATTATCGTGATTTTTAATAGGTTCGTATGGTACTCTATAGCCAAACTAAAGAACAAGTCGTATTGAAATTTAATGCCAGTGGCACAAGCAAGATGGACTGGTTCCGTGTTCACCGCCTACAACACTCTCCATGGCAAGATGTTCTTTCAACTACCAAGGACTACTTCAGCATAAATGCGTTTTGTTCTCAAGGACGTTGTCGATCGTTTTACATTAACAGAAATCATGGTGGTTGCGAAAATGATGCAGGCTGGCTTATGATTGGTGGTTTAACAGGCTGTGGTTGGGAAAACAGATTTCCAGAAAACTGTTTTCTCTATAGTAACAGTGGAACCTATGCGAACTGGAACCATTATGGTAAAGTCGGAAATTTAACTTTATGAATTGATAAGTTACCCAACATGGCACTTTCAGTCACATGCAACTGTAGCTGCATTCCCTCGTGGCTCGTATGACGGCAATAAGTGTAACTGTGTAATGCATACATATCATTGCATATTATGTCACGGTCTTTGTATTTGCATTTGATTCTCGTTTCTACAGATGTGTCATATACCATCATTTTTATTTTCATTCAGATAAAATTGGTACAGCTGAAGTGTTTGCTGTTTACCTTCGATGAAAATAGTCACTCACAGAATATTATCACCGCACATCAGTGATGCTTGGAAACAGTGCTGTAGAACTAAATTTACCAGAGGAGAGGGGGGTTCTCTTGACGAGGGTGGAGCCGTGGTGACGTCATTCTGTGTCAGACGCACTTTTTTTGACATTTTTACAATACAGTGCACTTATATGGAAATACTTTTTCCAAAAATATATATGTAAATATAAAACACTAGTTGGCTGGCTGCGCCTGCGATAATCACAGCAACTCCCCAAGACTCGCACTGAAAGTACTTAGTGTAAATTTCAACCTAGCTAAGATGAACATAGGAGAGTAAAAAGATATCGATTTTTAAGAATGTCATTTTGATTCTATTTAACCCTAAAGTAAATAATAAATAATCAAATAATGAATAGTCAAATTTCATTATATATAATAAATATAATAAATAGTCATAACTGCATGATAAATTATTGGATATTGCTATTGGAAATTGCGTACCAAAATCAGGTTTCAAAACAAGTTAACCAATTTCATAGCCATAATTCGAATGCCCTAGATCTAAAAATATTTCCGCTTCATATTTGCTAATGTCGTCTTATCTCTAGAAAACGGAGCCGAGGCGTAGCTCTAGGGGATGTGATGTTCTAATGCTATTTAATTTTAGGTAAATTTCATGGTAAAAATCTGCTACTCCTGAATCATCTAAAGTTTGTCAAACACGAATATTTCCTACGACCTGCTAACGTTTTCTTAGCATTTCGAATACTCTTAACAAACATCCCACAAAATTATAAATGCATTGCAGATGAAAGGAAAATTACATATAGTTCGTGATATTCGCTGCAAAACCGATTTACAACTTGGGGTTTACCAATGTAAGATTTCAACTGTAAACACAGAAACTTTGACATCTTGACAGTGTAATCAGGCCAAAAGGATGAAAAAAAAAACAGGATGACGCGCTTGCATGAAAAACAAAGAGAGTCAAAAAACACCTCTTGCAAGGCAAAAGTATATAAATAACTATTGGGAACTTCTAACGTTCATGGAAAGGCAACTAATGTCTGTTTTTATTACAATCAAATCCTTGTATAATTTAAATATTAATTCCTGTATATAGCGTATCTTAATCCCCAATAACCATTCGAGTCAGTCAAGTGCTTAACTAAAGGCTAATTTCCACTCCGGAAAACGAGCAGTGGATCAGATCGGATCGGAACGAAAGATAATCCGCGCGTGCGCCGTCTGTTGAAATTTTTGGCTTATATTGATCCGAAAGCATCCGAGACCGGATAAAAAAAAGTTCAAATGGTTTTAACTTTTTTGATCCGATCCGAAATCACTTTATGGGTCGGACCAGCTCGGAAAAAAATCCGATCCGCTGCTCGTTTTCCGGAGTGGAAATTAGCCTTAACGGCGTATTCAATAACCCGAATGTTTCATATTGATGCGTTCTGCATATAGTAACTTCTCGGCAACATGTCGGTTATACTGTAGCCCTCCCGAAAATACGTATCGCGGAAGTCAATTTAAGTATTTGCATACTCAAATTTCAGCTTTTAGGTTTATAAAATTTCACAACATACCGGATGCCATGTTTGTGAGTAAGTTCGTAGATTGGTAGGGCTGGATTACCTGTTATATTTGACAGGTTGGTCATGCCAGTAAATTACTGACAATGGCCCGATTTACACTAGAGACAGATCATCCGTCTAGACGAACTTGCATGGCAAGCGAAAGTTAGTTCTTGTGGTTCGTCTGTGTGCAAACACATGGATCTTCCGTCAACACGAATTATATATGCATGCTATATAGCTTATACCTATATTGTTATATGAGCAGAACCAATGCGCGGGTCCGTCTTTAGTGTAACCCTCTTTCAGCACTTAAAATCATTTGTATTCAAATGAATTCGTTATGCATGGATGTAGACGCCCCACAAACAGTTATCTACATGGCCATGAGAGCATGCATTGCATAATCTATAATCACAACATCAAGTGCAGACAAAATGGCAGTTGAGCCAACAAGGAAACGTTACTGCATGCCAATGGCGGTTTAAACAATTTGGATTTCTGGCGATTGTCGTCGCTCCATAATGAACGGCAGGAATCGAGGCAAGAATTTTCTTTTTAGTTTCCTATTTATCGTTGTTGAAAGGATTGCTGTTATCAATAGCCAAGGTAATTACATACTTATAGTCTTAGGTGATTTAACATGAGTAATCGAATTTTCCTTTTTTCCGGTAAATGTATACAAGAAGAGCTGCAATTGGGCAGCCATATTGTGAATAATATCAGACTTATCGTAAATGCACGACGATAGCTATCGTCATTTCGTGGTATATTACTGACAGAATACGGTATAGAGATGTTACATTATTTCAGTGACAGTGGTGATAATATACTCTTTCTTTCGACTTCCTGTTTTATTAAATCGTTGTAATTATGTGTATCGATATATAGTATCACGGTATTTAATGATAAAAGAAGTGAATATATGTATGACTATATAGCTTCCTTGTGCCTCGTGAAATATATTTGGCGTTTAAACCGTAGTTTAAACTTGACAATTGGGGAAGACATTGAAGAGGCATGAAACCTGTCTGAACTCGCCCACGTTCATTCTTGCAATACTTTTCATTGTGTCTATAATATCACTGGTCGTGCATGCATGGACATTTTCCTTCATCAGTTACAAGATAATAGATTTTCGGTAAAACATAGAACCAGGAAGTGAAAAAGGTAAACCATGCAAGTTTGCCGTTCAAGTAAACAACGAACAATATAACCAGTTTCACTATAAATTTGACTTCCGGTAAAAAAACTTTCTGTATATGTTACAGCCTTTGACTTTTAAACCTGATGCGTATTAGACCACTTTTTTGTAAATCTTTCTTTTTACTGAGGAACCCTGCAAAATAATTATGGTGCACTCAGTCTGAACAACTCTCACAAATTTTGTTTACAGGGGCGGGTTGTATCAAGCCTGTTTATATAGCTTAAACGGTGGATAAGTTCCAAATAGAAAGCAAGTCTATCATTTTATTCAACAAGCAAACTAAATGTTTTTCAGCTTAATACAAAGATACTGTTTACAACTGCATATTCAGTGCATAATATTCAAGTTGACTCATTCAAGAGAGATGTAAGGGTGTTTTTTAATTTTGACTTATCCACCGTTTAAGCTAAACGGGCTTGATACAACCGGGCCCTGGTCTTTACATATATATATATATATATATATATATATATATAAATATATATATATATATATATATAGCTATGTATCCCCTCTCACAAAGTTTTAGTCGAAAACAGCATAGTACCAAAATTTCTGTAGTATCAGTTCCCTATACACATTACACAGCCATGGCTAAAGCCATATCTGTAGCCATATAGGCTTTCTTGTTTTACGAGTAATAATCCTGTTATGACTAATTGGTCAAAAAGCAATAAACACCGTGTTGTGTTCAGTGTTCCTAGGTAAATAAAATATTACTCAAAATGATTTAAACAAACATGGGATTATTCCTTGAATTGACTGATTGAATTGTGCATCCTACAAATCAGACCCGTGACACCACACATGACATTTATGTGTTACAAAACATCTCAACAGAAATTGCCGAAATCTACAGTATACAGTATAGGGTGTATATAAAAAGAGAATATGCTATTCATTTTGGGCCCGATGCACACTAGTGAACGTTGCATGTAAACTTCTCATTCGTGGCAAATTAGCTGCAACAAAAGTATTTTTGTCATTCGTGACACATTTGCCAATAGACCTTTCCCTTTTTAGCGTGACGGTAGTTGATTATCAAGGTCAATTTGAGTTGTGAGTTTCGCCATGTTCAGAAAAAGATGCAAAAAGAATCGGCAAGATTTTCTAGACGATTTTCTTTCTTCTACGATCCATTGTCAGTCACCATGGTTAAATGTCCCATAATTAATTTATCAGTCGTTTCTGTAAATGTTTATTAACATCGGATCATTATTTATTTGTACAGTATGGCCGCAGGGTACGTATGGTCTGCCTAAACCAGTATCAGGATGTCCAACAACTTGGCAAGAAGGCTGGAGACAGCAAGACTTAGAAAATACGAATTCAAAAAGCAGTTTTTCCACTCATCTACAGTCGCACATGGAGGCAACGTTGAACGGAGGCGATGTGAAAAGATATTTTTGTGTCAAAGATTCCACTCATGTCGGAGAAACAAGGGCATGGCCTGCAGGTTATACTCTATAATCTACATAAATACACTACAGGGACGCCGGAGCTTTATTAGCCGGCAACGTCTTTAACGAGTTTGAAGATTAGCACTGATGTCTGCCGTACGACACCAAAATCATATCATAATGAAGTAAAACCACGATGTCTATGAGACAAAGTTCAACTGAAAACTCTTTCTGATAAATCCGCTCCGCTCGTCCCTGACCCTGATGAAATGATCATGTAACGTACTTATGGTCTGCATGGACTTGCTGGTCAAGCAGTCATTTCAGCTATTTAGGTGTGATATTCGATATTTCGTTGTAGGTTCTTACTGTGTGTATAAAAAGAATCAGCAGTGTCCCTCTGGTATGAAAACTCAGTCAGGTTATATAAAATGGGATGATGAAGATACCAAAAACAAGAACAGTAAATATGGTACTCTACCTGAGGGCACTTATGACCAAGACACAAAGATTTTTTACTGCTGCAATGATCGAGGACAATGGAACGATGCTATTGAGTTACCTGTGGATAAACCATTCTACTTATTACCATTCAATTCTAACAACTGCCAAAGAGTTAATGGAGCAATAAGCTCACTGGATTACATCGTTTATGACACCGAAGAAACACAAAATCATGATGATTTTTCTCAAGGACCGCGTGTTTTTTCAGATTCCAATAAAGGCCTTCCTAAGATTTACTACTGTTATTACGAAGGTATGAATATATAGGTTCTTATTTATAATATGAATTATTCAAGTGTGGCAAAGTTATAATCGCAGTTGTGGTTACCATATTATTGTGATGTTGCATGATACTCAGCTGAGTAATAAACTGGGTAAGCTAAAAATAAACGTCGAGGGTTTGATTCCCATAAGCTGTGGTCGATATAATTTTTTTCCGGCTGTCCACTTGGTTACTCAGCCGGAGTAGCGCCATCATAATATGGTGAAGTTTCCCTTCAGTCCCCCCCCCCCTCTCCTGTCAAATTGCTAAATGTCTAGAACTATACAGACTATACAGTATATATTTTACTTTTTGCCTGACGATTTAGAGAAAAATCCAGTCCTTCAAGCTCTACATGTACGTCTCAACGTCACTGCTTTTCTACGCAAATATAATTATAGTGTTATGAAATATCACTTTTGTTTCTCATTGCTTAACATAACATTAAAGTAGAAATACAAATTTGCAGTGGTAATATACTAACACGAACATCAAGAAAATCATGAACGGCCTCAAATAATATAAATTCTGAATTCACACGCATTCAATTACCAGTTTTTTAATGTTTCTTACAAACTGAAGAGCTCAATTCCGGGCCCCCAAAGACCGCAGGGCCTCGGTTTAACCCCGAATCACCAATAGCTCACTCCCCCCTTCACCAAAACAGCTCAGTCGACTTTTCGACCCATCATGACAAACCTATATATTTTTCAGGTTGCATGCACAAAAGTCAAAAAGAAAGTGGAACAATTTCAACCACGCATTTCCCAGACTATCAATATTGTTCATGGTCTATTACTGTCAATCAAGGCTCTGTTGTTTCTCTAACACTCACATCAATAAACATTCCCAGTTGCACGGGAAACTACATGAATATTTACGACGGCGTGGATGATAATGCGTCGTTGATGATGAGCCTTTGTGGAAACAACGCAACGTCAGGAGTAAGACTTCGTACCACGACGAACAACATGTTTATCATACTGAAATCTAGATTAAGTAGTGGAAACATGCACTTTCAAGCGGACTACAAGACAACAACACCCTTCTCTGGTATGTATTTTCCATTATTTTCTTTTGTGTGAAAAGTATGCCTTTATGCCTAGTATGCCTTTGTGTGACATTCCTTCATACTTCTCGGTTGCATATAGGTCTATCCTGGCCATCTGGTACTTACGGTTTGCCCAAAACGACCACACCATGCCCTGATATGTGGATACCGGGTTGGAGAAAGCAAATCATGGAGGATGACAAACAACCTGCGGAGACTTCTCTTTCTACTAATCTGAATATGCACATGGATGTACATTTAATTGGTTCTGCCCTTACACGTCATTTTTGTACCAAAACTAGCGATGGTACAAAAGATACGACTGCTTGGCCGGCAGGTAATTATCAATATGAGACTAGAGAAGAGAAAATATTAGTGCCGGGCATGTCTAAAATTGATGCAATACCCATTAAAGTCTGATGCTATACTTGAATAATTCTCATGCGTGGAATTTCTATAAACGGAGTTTATTGTTAGCTCTGACAAAGTCTCAATTGGTGAATAAGTCTGAGATAGATAAAACTTCCAGGCTTGCAAGTAGTAGAATATACTTATATCTTCTTACAACAAAGTATTTACAAGACTTAGTATTGTCATATTATATTTTCAAAAAGGAAATTATTGCATTTATAAAAAGAACCAATGCCCGTCCGGCATGAAAGATGGTTTTATCAAATGGGATGACGAAGATAATCCAAAAAGTGGTAGCAATGCTAGACATGGTGTATTACCTGATGGTGAATATGGTAAACATGGCGGCGTTCCCTCCGATACAAAAATATTCTATTGCTGCAATGATCAAGGAGCGTGGAGTCAATCAATAGAACTTCCGATCGATGAGCCATTCTACTTATTACCTTACCAGTCTGGAAATTGTCAACGTGTCAAAAATGCTTTGAGTACGCTTGAGTTTATCACTTATGATACTGAAGAAGACAATAACTATGATGACTTCCAAAATAGCTATGCTTATAAAACAGGGTACAAAAGACTACCGACAGTATATTATTGCTATTATAAAGGTACGTAGATTATGCATCACCTATAGGTGTTATATTTTTGCGCTTTTTTATTTATAATAATGCTGCGCGTTTCTTAGTTATCCTTGTAGTACCCCTTGTAGTATCCCTGTTGTACAAGCTATGGGCAAGCCCACGATTTTTAACCCGCCTCATGAGACCGTCACAAAATGGCATAGTTAGGTCACGCAAGTTCAGTGTGTATTTTTCGCCATTTCAATGCAATACTGCGTTGGTTTGAGTGGAATTCCCTGGGTTATTTTTTGGGGATGATGATTTTGAAATTCTACTCTCATCCCTCATGCACTCATCCCTCTTGCCCTCATCCCTCTTGCCCTCATCCCTCTTGCCCTCACCCGTCTTGCCCTCACCCGTCTTGCCCTCATTCCTCTTGCCCTCACCCGTCTTGCCCTCATCCCTCTTGCCCTCACCCATCTTGCCCTCACCCGTTTTGCCCTCACCCGTCTTGCCCTCACCCGTCTTGCCCTCACCCGTCTTGCCCTCATCCCTCTTTCTTTCACCCGTCTTGCCTTCATCCCTCTTGCCTTCACCCGTCTTACCCTCATCCCTCTTGCCCTCACCTGTCTTGCCCTCATCCCTCTTGCCCTCACCCGTCCTGTCCTCAGCCGTCTTTCCCTCATCCCTCTTAACCTCATCCCTCCTGCCCCCATTTCTCCTGCCCCCATCCCTTTGCATGGGCCCCCATTTTTTACACCTCATGACGTTTTCATTGCAGCGGCGGTACATAATTCTAAAGAACATTTCTTATTTCTTTCGCTCAGGTTGCAATAACAGGTATGAGGGCAACAATGGTGGTTTTGGTTTTCACAATTATCCTGATTATCAGTATTGTTCATGGACCATCACCGTCGAACACGGTTTAGTAGTTTTTCTTAGATTCTCTACTCTTAACATTTCTGATTGCTCGGAAAATCAGCTTGGAATTTACGATGGAATTGATAGCGATAGCCCAATCTTGGCGACATATTGTGGAGCAAACGCAACCTCTGGAAATACGCTGCTTTCTACGGGAAATGTTGTCTACGTAGCTTTTAAGTCCGGAAGACGTGGAAAATCTTTAGGATTCCAAGCTCAATACGAATCTAAGACACTAATTACAGGTTAATATTAAACTTTCTTGGTTCTGTCTTTCCTGTACTCAGTTAGATTAAAGTTCATGAACAAATATTTTGGGCAGTGTCTTTTTATTATGATTCAGCGCATTCTTCGTTAGTTCGTCCCTAGGAAATCATTTGTTCGAAGTTAAGCAGTTCTACATGCAGCTTTTGCTTTGAAGTTTTCAATAATATAGGAGTATTATAATTACAGAAACATCATGGCCATCCGGAACCTATGGTTTGCCAAAAACAACGGGAAGTTGTTCATCTGGCTGGGTACAAGGCACAAGAAAGCAAAATATGGAACAGAGTGGAGTATTTCACGGTGCTACTTCCTCTCAATATGATATGGATGCAATTCTGGATAAAAAAAAAAGATCCATCGCAAGAAAATTTTGTATGAAAACGTCAAATAATGGCAATTCTAAGATGTGGCCAGTTGGTAGGTATATATTTCTTTACACATTAAAAAGATTAGCAAGATCAACAATGGATATCATGTAAACTGTGATATCTGAAACGAAAACCACGGTCGATAAACTGATACAGCTGGATGAGCTGAGTATTAAACACAGTAGAACAAGCGTACTCGTACAAATATTTATGAAATTTCCATCACATGCATTCTTCTTTTCAAGTTGCACTCGAAATCATACTATTGATACCTATACCTACTATTGACTTCTTGCCTTAAGGATCATACTGTATTTACAAGAAGAATACCTGCCCAAATGGGATGGATGAAGGTTCCATAAAATGGGACGATGCGGACGACAAGAGAAATCCAGACGTCGAGGGTGTTCTACCAAATGGTAAATATGATGATCATTCTACGAAGATAGACTATTGCTGTCGCAATCAGGGCAATTGGTATGATCCAATTGAACTACCAGTTAGTGTATCATTCTTTTTGCTACCATATACGACCAAGAATTGTCAGCGTGTGAAGTGGGCGATGAGTCGGCTGCAGTATATAATATATCAAACCGAGGAATCTCAGAACCAGGATTATTTCACGGGAAGTCATGTATATGCAGAAAACATAAACAGAAACCATTATACACCACGTACTCTTTATTATTGCTATTATAAAGGTATGTATACAACATATATGTTATAATGTTGATAAACAGTCCCCCGATTTTGCTCGTAACCGGTGCTTCCAGTATTTCTTCTATATTGGACCGAGTAGCCTACCATTTCACGTACTTCAGTATAGAAATTTTTGAACTGAATTAGTCGGCCCAGTATGCAGGTTAACAACCAATGTTTTTTCGAACTTTAACAGTTTGAAGAAAAAAGATAATCTTTTGTTTTCCCCGCTTTATATTAGCTATATATATGTGACAGTCAATACTAGCCTCTTGGACGTAAATTCTTTTATCGAGCTTTAATCTTAGTTTCAAACATTTATGCAATATATCCCACTTTTCCACTCATCTTTCTCTCTCGTTTAAAACAGGATGCAACTATCAAATAGACGCTGAATCTGCTTCATATATCTCTGTCCCAATTTCTTCAGACCAAGATTTCAAACATTGTTCTTGGTTGCTCTCAGTAAGATACGGAAACATCAGTGTAACTTTCAACACGGCGTCTGTAACTGACTGTGCAAAAGGCGACCTCCTTCGGGTCTATGACGGTCCTAATGATAAATCAAATTCTTTGGCAAATATCTGCGGTACCGAATACAATCATAGTATCACATCGACTGGTAAACATCTATTTGTGTCGGTTAAATCAGGATATAATAGGCAAATGGGAACCACTGTTGGTTTTCATGCCTCTTTTAAAAGTACGTATATTTGATGCATTGCATTATACTAGAAACTCTGAACATGGATGTCATTTCCTGTGTCACGCAACCATATAATACAGTAAAAAGCTTACATTCGAAACTAGAACATTTTGACTTTCTGACACAGTTCCCGATGTCAATGGACGACTTGCGCTTTAGACTAATTTTTGATCGAAGTAACTAGAAGAAAATAAATCATGGCAGCTAGAAAGATCTTACTTAAATTAGTGCAAATGCAAAGTTTGGCTGCAAAATGTTGTAAAATACGGAAAATATAGCCACGCGAAGTTGGCAAATTTTGTATACTTTTGTATTACGACCGGAAGCGTGTAACTAATTTAGTTACACATTTCCGCACGTAATACAAAAGTATACAAAAATCGACAACTTCGCGTGGCTATATTTTCCGTATTTTACAAATTTCGCAGCCAAACTTTGCATTTGCACTAATTTAAGTAAGATCTTTCAGAAAATGTCCTTTTTATTGCCGAGGTAAGAAATTAGTCTAAAGCGCAAGTCGTCCATTAACTAAGTCAATGAAAAACATCAAATCGTTTAGGTATTAAGATAGGAAATGTTTGTATAATGCAAGACGTTTATTTGTGCTTTTTAGACAATCTACCATTTAGCATAATCGTTTCAACACCATCCATGGCCTCACATTCCACTCCTCCGACTACACCTGCCTCCACTCCACCCACTACACCCGCCTCCACACCAAAGACTACACGAGCTTCCACTCCACCGACTACACCCGCCTCCACACCAAAGACTACACGAGCTTCCACTCCACCGACTACACCCGCCTCCACACAACCAACTAAACGAACTTCGACACCACCGACTGCACGAACGTCGACACCACCGACTTCGCAAACTTCCACGCCATCAAAGACATTACCAGCGACATTGCCCCTAACGACACCTACAACGGCATTAAAAATGACAACATCATCGAAAAAGCGATCTACCTCAGCATCGGACACGGGCGCCACCTTGACAACACAAAATAGTTCAGCTGCTACCAAGGTTCCAATAGATACAGATAAAACCACACACACAGAGGCGTCTCGTTCTAAAACCATGAACACTGACAAACCAACAGGCATCAATACACCAACAACAAGTAAAGCTGGCAACCAAGGTGGCAACTCAGAACACAATGACAGTCCAGTTTCCGCTCTTGTCTATGTTATTCCTGTGTGTCTTACATTCTTAGTCACAGTCATAATCGTTATGCTTTTCTATCGCAGGTATAAATGGGACACCGTTTTTGTTGATATCCATGCATGCCAATTTGAGGATTTAATGGCGTGCTCAGAACTGATCTTGGGCCACCTCAATGGAAGGCCAAATTAGAAACAATTAGAAGCGAGTTTTAAGTTTTTAATCTTAACAAAATTTCATTGCACATTGGTTATTTTCATTTTTGTATCATTTCATATCAGAAAAAAGAAAGATAATCCGACACAAGGGGCTCCTAATGAGACAATTCACCCATCAAGTCCAGAATTTAATCCAAGGTAAACCCTAAAGCATTTACAGCACACTTAGATTTTTCACGATTGTGTGGTATACAAGCTGTCTGTGCAATTACGGACCTATTTTTTCGATGTTTATTTTTCATAGATTTCAATCTCCTGATAAAGTGTTCATTTTGGGCGGACAACAAGTTAATATTCCGTCAGACGAGAAGGAAAATCCACTTTACGAAACTCAAGAAGAACACACATATTGGTCAATTGAAGATACGCAAAAACAGTATAAGAAGGAAATTGGAAACTGCCCTTCCAAAAGTACTTTTTACGAGACACCATTAGACTCAGGAGCTTCAACATCATCCCTCAATCCTTACGAGATTTCTCCTGTAAAAGCTGCTAAACCGTCAAATATACCTCCTGAAGATAATACTTACGATAAACCAGTTGACAGCCTCGCTTCCATGTCATCTTTCAATCCGCTTTACAGCAGCGAAAGCACAAATCATGAGGCACCTTTGCTATCTGACGTACCAAGTACTTCTCACGATACAACCGAAGCCTACTATAAAAATCCAGCGAACCCATACAACAAATTACCCAAGAGCGATATCTACAAAACACCTAGCAATGTTTCTCAAACAGACTCAGGAAATCAACAGGCCCAGACTACATATGAAAATTTCTCTCTCACCGACCACAATCCACATTATCAAACGCCCAACAATAAGCCTGACACTTATGAAGTAATGCACGGAAAACTTGTAGTCGACCTTTCGGAAGAAACAGGAATGACCCAATGTTAAGGCCCAAGGCGACATACACTGCCTATGCATATTAACTGTATATCATCACATGCACAGCCGTATGATAGGGTTGATCGATGCAGGTCTTTGCACATATTTTTATCTGAATATTCAATTATTTTTCGTACCTATATTATCCTAATAATTGCGACGCCTCTTTTAGCATTACCCGACCAGTCATAATCCCTTCCATATTTATATTCAGACGGATTTTTGTTAACTTTTCCGTCTCTAATACGAATTCGGCTATTTCGGCGATGGACCCAAAAGGACCGAAATTCTAAAAAGGGACAACAGTAGGGCCGTAACGAGTTTTATTAGTGTTGTTCGCGGTAAGCGTGTTATATAGAAGCGAATCTAGGGTAACTCCTGGTTCTTCTGCACTGAAGTAGAATAAGAATTCCAATGTACATTTTTTATTACCTGCGATGCGCAAGAAAGAAAGAAGAAGGTTTCTCAGGGTCGATTTGTAGTTATCACACTACGTTTAAGTTTCAAGGCATATATCTTTTTAGTCCTAATCAGCTGAAAAAGTATATATTCGATAGAAAGATGTAATTGGAGTGTTAACGTATACCGAAGCGAATTAAGCTCTCAAAATTAAGCAATATTTCCAGAAACGACGATCAGTTGGTGTCCATCGTGCTTAATATGGATATGGTGCCTGCATTTCAGATTGCTGCATGGGCATACTTTGTCAGAGATAGCAGCTTGAGGATAGTTTGAAGGGTTTTGAAACACCACGCACGTTGATGCATATTAGCGAAATTTAGCAAACACACGACGTGACGCCTAAGATGCCGTGAAAATGGCGTGGATATGGTGTAATCACAACCATAGATGGACATATCACGCCATATCCACGCCATTTTCGTGACGTGCCAGGCACATATGAGCTATATATAGCAGCTATATATAGCTCATCTGTGTCCTAGGCGTCACGTCGTGTTTGCAAAATTAACTGACTTGCTTTGCACAACCAAATATGCATGTTTATGTATGCCTTTACTGCATGAAGTCGAGAAAGAATTCTTTTGTCATTTTCTTGGAAGCTAGTTTTCAATAGAACTTCCGCTTTAATTTATTTTTACTGCGTAGCAAGAAACGAAACCTATGACATGACAGAAATCTGTTCCAATACTGAAAATATTGGCAATGTTTTAAATAACCAAAGAACCGAAATGAGGTAAAACCAGAAATTTCGTATTATTATACCCAATTTTCCACATCATTAATTTGTGAGAATTATCTATGTTCATAGTTTAAATTTTGCAAACTTTCCGCGTTAATCTTAAGCAAACGAGATTAGTGTTATTTTCAATGAAAAGAATCTCAGCACCGTTTAAATTTTAGCCGGCGTGTTATAAAGTAAAGTGAGAAAACCTACATCTTAAATTTTGTAAACATTCCAAGTAGCTAAATTTAAATTTTGTATTACAGTTGACGTTTATAACTGAAATAGATCAACCTTGCTTTGCCGGGTTCCTATACCCACTTGACGCCGGTGAAGTGAATAAACTTTCGAACATTTTGCCTAACTTAAAGACTGAACTATTAAACGTCAAATATTATGCCTATCTCAAAGTCCAAGCAATACAGCTTCTTTCTTTCCTCTTTTGAAGCGTGGGCCTATGATTGAAAAACTGCATGCCCCCAGTCTTTCGAATGATTTAGCAGCTAAAATATTTTTTGTATATCAGTTCTAGTACATTTTTATCCTAGTTGTTGTCAACCGAATTATTTCCCTTATCATATTTTTTCATTTCATTATTAGTCATCAACATACAGACGCTCAGACATTGACAGAAGCCACACCAGCCGACGGGCAAGAATCGACAACGGAACCTGAGGTATTGATTGGAGCCACATCAAAAGATGGTCAGGGATTGAGCGGAGTAATACCAACAAATAGGAAGGGATCAAGTAAAACCGAATCAGAAGAACGACCAGGATTGGGTAGACGAGGCACATCACTAGAGAAACGGGGATTAAGAGAAGCAACAACAGGAGTCGGATCTATACCATTATCAACCAAGTCCATCAAACCTTGTACAACAACGTCGCCTAGCCCAGAGAAACAATCTGCACCCACATCAACTATGTCTGAGAAACCTTCTACTGCCACGCTGGGTAATTCAGAGAAATCACCTGTACCAACTTCAAGTGTGTCAAGAAAATCTTTCACAGTCAAGCCGGCTATTCCAGAGAAACCACTTGTACCCACATCAACTAAGTCTGAGAAACGATCTACGGCAACGTTGGTTAAGCTAGAGAAATCACCTGTACCCACAACAACTAAATGTGAGAATCCATCCACAGCCGCGTTCGCTATGCCGGAAAAACTACCAGCACCCACAACAAATAAGTCTGGCGAACAAACTACAGCAACATCAGCTAATTCAGAGAAACCACGTGTACCCACATCAACAAAGTCAAAGAAAGCATCTACAACTACACCAGAGAATAATAAACCAGAGAAACTACCAGTACCCACACCAACAAAGTCTGAGAAACCATCTACTGCTGCGGCTGCTAAGCCAGAGAATGCACCTGTACCTACATCGACAGAGTCGAGAGAGAAATCGTCTACAGTAAAGTTGCCAAGGCCAGAGAGACCTCCTCTACCCACGACGATTAAGTCTGAGAAATCATCTACCGCCGCATCGGCTAAGCCGGAGGAACCACCTGCACCCACATCAATTAAATCTCAGAAGCTCTCTCCAGCCAAGTCTGTTGAGCAAGAGGAACCACCTCCACGCATACCAACTAAATCTGAGAGAGCATTTTCAACCACCTCGACTAATCCAAAGAAAACACCTGTACGCACATCAACAAAGTCGGAGAAACTATCTAGAGCAAAGTTGGCTAAGCCAAAGAGACCTCCTTTACCCGCGTCAAATAGATCTGATAAACAATCTAAAGCCACTGCGGCTAACCCAGAGAAAATACCTGTATGCACATTAATCAAATCACAAAATCCCTCATCAGCTAAATCTACTAAGTTAGAGAAAGCACCTAAGCTAGAGAGGCCTCCTCTACCCGCGTCAACTAGGTCTGATAAACAATCTACAGCCACTTCGACTGAGACAGAGAAAACACCTGTAACCACTTCAACAGAGTCAGAAAAAATATCTACAGCCACATCGCCTACGCCAGAGAAAACACCTGTACGCACACTACCCAAGTCTGAGAAACCGTCTACAGTAACGTCAGCCAATCCAGCATTAGCTACACCCACATTAACAGAGTCTGGAAAACTTTCAACAGCAACGTCGGTTAATCAAGAGGAAACTCCTGTATCCTTAACAAATAAGTTTGAGAAACCTTCTACAGCGTCGGCGGCTTATCAAAAGAAAATGCCTGCACCCGCACCACCTAAGTCTGAGAAACCAACTATAGCCACGTCGGCTAAGCCAACGATACCACCTGCACCCACACCTAAGTCTTAAAAACTATCTATATACGTCCACTTCCGCTGTTCACCAGCCACGTCCGCTGTTCACCAACCACGTCCGCTGTTCACCAGCCACTTCTGCTGTTCACCAGCCACTTCTGCTGTTCACCAACCACTTCTGCTGTTCACCAGCCACTTCTGCTGTTCACCAGCCACTTCTGCTGTTCACCAGCCACTTCTGCTGTTCACCAACCACTTCCGCTGTTCACCAGCCACTTCTGCTGTTCACCAGCCACTTCCGCTGTTCACCAGCCACGTCTGCTGTTCACCAGCCACTTCTGCTGTTCACCAGCCACTTCTGCTGTTCACCAGCCACTTCTGCTGTTCACCAACCACTTCCGCTGTTCACCAGCCACTTCTGCTGTTCACCAGCCACGTCCGCTGTTCCAGACAAGCCAACTATACCCACATTAACTTAGTCTGAGAAACTTTCTGTCGGCTAATTAAACCACGTCGACCCTGGACCCTGGGGGAGTAGGTTTATGACCTCGCCTATGACTGTATTAATCTCATACTCAACCTATAATTAATTCCAAGTAATATCTTGACGTCCATTTTTGCGAATAATATTATAATATCTTCAAATACCACCTTAAAAGAGTGATTTCTTCAGCACAAGGAATCACCAATTGATATTCAGAATAAATATTCATACATTGTTGATAGAACAAGAAACATAGATACAAGTAAGGAAAGGGGTCGTCGACACGCATTTAGAAACCGTAAAAGGTCGGTAGCATCGTAATATATTTATATTCTAGATTTTTATTTAGCCATATAGGTAGCTTTTTTTTGCAGCTCCAACAAGCGACACACCATTGGCTTTTTTAGCGTGCACGTTGTAATGCATGACTTTATCTACATGCTACCTTCAAGTTCCATAAGGATTTGTTAATCTGCTAACGAGTTAAATGATGTTACCGACCATCAATGACGCTGTCGACTATCATAAACGAATTTACATGAAATACAATAAAATATGGTGTTTTGTCATTTCGGTTCCGAGAGTGAACAATGTCCGGTATTCATTCTCCTAGCAGCCTACTGATATATACGTATCGAGGAGCGGGTGCTTCGTTTCTCGGTGTGATAAGCGGCGCTTCTTCATCGTGACTTGACGGTGATGAAGAAATTCTTTGTAAAGTCTGATTGGTAGAAACTTGAGCAGGAATATTCTTGCGTCGGTAACTTTCTAAGGAAGGAGTTCGTGGAACACGTGGTAACGCATTAGGTTCAGGTCGAGTGTCTGTTGCTGTCACTCGAAATGCTCGTCGATAGAGGAAATAGTTGAATACTCCTTGAAGTGGATTTACGAACGCCTGCAAATGAGCAAGGGACAACCTGCATAACTTGACACTGAGAAAATGGTGGGGGGAATGGGCAATATCATTAACCGTTCTTCAGATAGAGTATCATTAACCGTTTTTCAAATATGAGTAGCTTGCTTAGCAAATGTGCTATATGGTGTGATATACATGTATAGTGATCACTATGAACTGATCACAAGCCGTTTTATTCTTTGGGCCAGACCGGGTTTTAAACCGTTTGAGGCCCATCTTCAAAATAGAATGAAGATTTAGATCATGTCATTCATGTGGTGATTGCTCATTGTATTGTTAGATAAAAATGCTTTTGGTTTTGAAAAGTCATCGATTTAGTTCTCTGACTGATAAATGGACAGTTTGTACTCTGCAATATTATTAATGATAGATACATGGCCATGGTCTTATTGCATAGTAACTTTAGCTCAATTTCTTACTAGGTTTTTTAGATTCTCATGCATACGATCGATGTATTAAACAGCTGATTTCAAAAAGCTTTGGGACGTACCTCGACATACCAAAATTTATCTAACTTTGATTTTTTATCTTCCTGTTTTTTATCAAACGTCCAGATAAAATACGTTAGTGAGATGATATTTGGAAGCCAACTAAACGAAATAGAAACATAATAGTGTCTCAGAGTACCCTCAAAGCGAAATGTGAAAATAAAGCTCTTTGCATGGTCTTTGCAAATACATATATCAATCTTAAATTCATGGATGTAAAAACGCGTAATTTACAAGAGCAAAGAGCTTACCATACTGTAAAACCAACAACCATCCATAAAAACTTTCTTCTGCATCTAATCAGAGCTGCACGGTCCATAGAAGTATAACTCCCAGATGATCTTAATCGTTGTTTAACTACAGATAAATTAAGTGGTAAAACTCTGCGATAATGTGATCTCGTACGCTTGCGGTCGTGAAGAGCGTGGCAAAAAGCTGTGCAGGACGCGGATATCATTTTACAGTACTTCAGAAAGTTCGAGTCATAAGTACTTCAGAAAGTTCGAGTCATAAGCTAGCTGTGAAGGGTAATGGTGCCAAAAATTACCTTTATAATAAGTAATAATAAAGAGAATTGGGTTAGCCAGCATGATAACCATCACAGGCGCGTAGGATAATAATACCCGGGATAAACGCGCCTCACCCCTCATACAGCTAGAACAAGAAAACACGGTATTAATGTACGAAAACTGGAGAAGGGGTGAAATTGACATATGATTAAAAAACGAGAAACAGAGACACCCACCATGTTATACTAGTAGGTAAATATGTTATGAGTTTACCAATTTAGCAGTGAACTCAGTGCGCGCAATCCTTTAACAATAAAAGCAGTCGCAAGTATATTAGTGTATCTTTGATGTTTCCTCATTCAAACAGAATGCACGAAACGTAAAATTGCCCGAGCAGTCTGGGTCATCAAATGCATGCAAAGCCCCCAAAATCTCGATCCAACAACTTAGATTTCTTTTCAGTATCAAACTAAATGGAAATGCGACAAATAATGTACTTACGTATCGGGAAATAAAACAAAATTCATAACTTCAATAATAGTTACAAGTTCGAGTGGAATAGCCCAAGCAAGTATGTGGTACACACGCATCCGGCTGTAAGATATAATAAATTGAGCAGATCATGGTAGAAATGGAACTAAGAATTAAGGGGTGCAGAAAGCAGTAAAAGTGTTAGGATTCTGGACTCTGGATTCTGGATTCGAGGACTCTGGCATCCAGGAGCACTGGTTCAAACAAGGCCCTGGCAAATGTCTGTGAAAATTAAGGCAGGAAAGTCAACTTTGGAAAGCGCAATAATGACAGTTCACACTTTATTATTATAACTGATAAAAATAATCAACGGCCATAATCACCATTCTATTCGATACATTTGAAAGCACATATCCAGTGCATAGGAGAATGTCCAAATATAAGAAGCGAGGTAACCAAATAACGCTATAACCTAGAATTAAAGATGACAAAGAGATATCGTGTCACTTTCATTAGATCAAAATCATCAAAATCATTTAGTTCTAGTTCAGGTAACCCGTAACAGCACTTCGCAGTCCCTGCGCTATGCAACATGTAAAATTTTGCAAGATTTCCGTCCTGTCTATTGCATCCCGTTGCCAACTAAGGCGCAAAAATTAGCAGCAGTGGGGTAAGATCTTTTCATTGATTAAAATAAAACCGGATTATTTCCGACCTCGACTTCGTGGAGTAAAACCCTGGCTGGTCCAATCGACCAATCTCGTGACCTGGTTACAAGATTGACCTCCGAGTCTTACGCAACATGCCGGTGCTATTTTCCCGAATTTCGAACCATACACGCGTGGAAATATTTTTCCCTGAGGCGGAAACACGCGTGCTGGGACAATTTGCGGGACATTCGAACTTCGAAAATTTCAAAGACTGCAAAGTCCCTTGACTCCCTTCCACTGATTCTAGTTATAATTATTTCAAGAAGCAAAACTTGTATAATATTGCGCCAGATTTCCATATGGTTGATTTGTTGGTATGTTTTCTATATCTTCATCAGTTATTCATCTACATACCTCGGTTGTTGTACCAACTGGTATATACAATTTAAAATCTTTTGGTTCGTAATGTGTAGAAGTGATCTCACTATGATGACTTTGTCCCTCAGTTTCAGGTACTTGAAAAATCATTAAACAGATGGCTAAGGCAAATACGCCTGAAAAGTACATTGAGATATTTTCAGATGGGAGTTTTCAAAATTTTTGGCATCTTCAAATATAGATTGTGAATTGAGTAAAGGGAAAAATGGAAAGATTATATGTTATGATAAAGAAAACCTGGTGGAGGCCACTAAAACAAGGAAAGATTTGCCTACAAATCAAGAATGGAATTGTAAGGTGATTTTCAGACATGTAGATTCATTATACAATGCAAAGTAACCTTGGATGGCTAATGAACTGAATAAAAACTAATTTGAAATTTAAATTTAAAGTCATTTGCAGAATTTCAGGCTAACTTGCAGCTTAATTGTGTGCTAAAATTGCTGATTTGAAATTTTCCAAGCTGCAGAACATCTTACCAAATATGAAAAATAATTAATACAATTAGGAAACTGTTTTATAAATCAATAATCTAAATTTAGGCATAAATAATAGCAATAAGGTATCAAGACACTGAAAACCATATATACTTTGTATAAGAATTATATAATATGCCTAAATTTATAGGGAAATTATGATATATAATATATATATGGTTAGTGGCCAGGCAACATATTACTTCATATATTGCGAAATCACAGTAAAAAAATTCAAATTCAGGGCTGTTTACTGACCATATTTTTATGCTACTGGCACACAATATTATATAAAAGCATCTGATTGGCTTCGTACTACCAAAAGCAACATGTATTAAATAACATCGCCAAGTGTGACCATGCATACAAACCTGCGCAAGCTATTAGATCAGAAAGTGCTAGATAAAATATAATGTCTTTATTTGGAGACGGTTGTCTTCTTTGTCTGTTCCTTATTAATTGCCACAAAGATCTGAGTTGAAGTGCGGCGCCAGTGAAGCCAACACTTGCTGTTAAAATACATATTCCACCTACTATATATCGTTCCTCATATTCAAGTATTGACTCCGGAATACAAAATATAGATCTATCGCGAAGAAACGCCATTCATTAAATATGTTTAGAAACACGTATAAAGAAATATACTATTTTTTAAGTTTTTAGTGACATTTTGTATCAAGTTGTATACTGTATAATCGGCTACAAGTATTTATGGAAGCTCGAGACAGGCGGAAGTGATATTGCTTCCGGAATATAATTTATTTAGTAAGTATCTGAGTATCTTGAATAATCTGATATCTTTCATGACTATTGGCCTTGGTGACTTGGTCACGGATTTAGAACGTCTCTATCAGGTCTAGACGCCGACTTTTTTTAACTGTGATTTCACGTAAAATCTGTCACATTCTGTTGAGGTTACGAAATACGCTGATTACGCTCCGCCCAAGCAGTTTGCACCATTTAATTCCTGTAAATGGCGTTTCTTCGCGACAGATCTGTATTTTGTATCCCTAAAACGATTGTTACATACAAAGAACGATATATAATTGGTGGAATATGCATGGTAACAGCCACTGTTGGCTTTACTGGAGCTGCACTTCAACTTAGATCACTAAGGCAATATAGAGATCGGCAAAGAAGACGGCCTTCTCCAAATCCAGATATTATATTCTATCTGGCACTTTCTGATTTAATAGCTTGTGCAGGTTTGTATGATCACTTGCTTGGTGGTGAACCCACCTTGCGGCTTGCCGACCTTGGTGATACAAAAACACAAATAAAAACCTTTCCAAGGTGCTTTGCTTATAAAGTTCTCAAGTTGATCATTTTTGCTCATCTGCCACAATAATGCAGCTGCATTTATTACTTGTTAGTGCTAATTAAGGCCTAATGTGCACTGTGTGGTTGCATTTATATTCTTATGTCAGAGGTGTAAAAAGCATTGAGTTGAGGTCTGTGCCCACCCCCCAATAATATATCTGGAGTGGTAGAATATCTTCCCCAATATTACTGAACTTTAAAAGAAAATGGTCATCAGTGACACTTAAATCAACTGAAGAATAGTTAATTGTATTATGATATATAGTTTTGTAAACCATTTTAGGTGTATTTGCTTTGGCTATTTGTTTAATGGTTTTGGAAATACCTGCAAGTAGAAAAGAGGGTTTGAAAACTATAACATACATACCAAAACATGACAGTGTTTATGCACCCATTGGAACTATTATTGAGGTATAACTGTATACATTAAAATTATATGGTGGAAATTTAGAACATGAATTTATTTACTGATATGTGTACCACTCTTTCTAGATGATAACTTTATTTGGGTACTTTGCTTCCTATATATGGACATTTTCCTATGCCTTGGATACCTGTTTTCAAATTTATAAAAAAGAATGGTTAGTGATCGAATTTGCCTTATAGTGAAAATTATTGCCTTATATATAGTGAAAATTAATTGATTATTGAGGATTTAGAAGTACTAGTTATGAGATAATCAGAACAGGATTCATGCCTAGTTAGTCGTTTTAGAACATTGTTCTCCAAAAGTGTCAACAGAATATAACAGTCAAACATATTTGACTTTCATGTGCAATTATATTACATATTCTCTTATTAAACGAATTGAATTTTAATTCATTAATAGTCCTATGATTGTTTATCATATAATTGCATGGTGCATTCCATTGGAACTCATAGCAATAATTGAAGCTGTAAATTGGATAGAATATCCGCTTACGTAAGTAAAGTAAATGTCTGCACACTGTATAATGTATATACTACTTTTCTAAGAGCTTATTTGTATTCATGTATTCATGTGTATAACAAGGTGTTAGAAGATCTTTATACAGTTTTTAGATATATGAATGATTTTTCTTTTCCAACAGCAATATAGAAAAATTAATTCATCCATTCTTTTCCTGTTCTTATAATTATTGTAGGTGTGAGAGTGGTGCTGGAAGTTTATCTAGGGTGTACTTGTCTTATACCCCGGTAATGATAGTGATGGTTGTTAATCCTATTATCTTTATTATAACTTATAACAAAGGTAAGTTTTATTGGATTGTCCCACCAGCTTTGCACTGTAATACTGTCCTCAGTGAATTACACTCATAGCTGTTGCTCAATTTTTCACCTAGTAATATGTATATATGTGTATATTTTTGTGTAGTTAAACAACAATTACGATCCTCTGGTAGCTATACTGATGCTCATCGTAGTGCACTTTACACATGCAGGAGAAAGTTTTTTTGGATGGTCATTGTTTTCACAGTATGGTATGTCAGAGATTTTGTTCATTTGCAATATGTCGAGATGAGAACTATTCTAAAATCAAAAATGTGATGCAAAACTGCCTGCAAAAAGCTATACCTGCCTGTCTCCCTTTCATGTATAGTATTAATGTTAGTAATGTACTATATACTAACAACCATTCAAAGGTGAATAACGTGCAGTGTTTTATTCAGTGAAGAAAGGTCATAACCATATATGCGCAGTTCTTGTTTTATTTCCTGTTGATATGGACATTTCTAACGAATGTATTCTTCTTTCTTTAGTTGGCTTCCAAATATCTTTTCAATCACGTACTTTTTAAACCACTTCAAAGAATATTCACATAAGAAGTCAAACTTGGATATATTTTGGTATATCGAGGTAAGCAATATAGTAGCATTGGGTATTACCCGGCACGCTAATGATATTGATACAATATTCACAGAACGCAAATTATTGTAGCTTTCAATAGCAATGTTAAGATAATTAAAGAACGTCGTACTCGTTGATTCACAGAAAAATGAATTGACAGCGGAAACCGAAAAATTTAGTCTTGGTGGCATTTGTTGACCATTAAATTCAGTTGGATTTATTTTGCCAAAAATAAAAGGGTTGAACGTTTTCGTTAGCGTGGCCTCCCATGCCGTGCGTGCGTGGCATGCAAGTAAATCCAGGAGTGCGTGGACTTCGTTTATTCAGGAGTGCGTGCACCACCCCCCACCAATTTTGTTCTGACCCCCAGTTTATAGTTTTATATAGTAAGTAGTTTATATAGTTATATTCGATGTTCGCTTCAATTATAATAAGACCTTGCCTCCTCCCAAAAAGACATTTCTTTGACTCCCAATTCACCCGCCACCACTTCGTTTTAAATTCAAGCTTTTGGCACCGATGCGTACGGAAAACGCGTCAATAGAAATCAGCCTTTAAACGCTCAGTTCATTTTTAACCGTAGTCATCCAGTATGCTGTATGCCATAGTCATCCAGTAAACCCTAGTCATCCAGTGTAAACCATAGTCATCCAGTAAACCATAATCATCCAGTTCACTAGATAACTAGGAGTACAAGATTACTATCATATAAAGAACTTATAATATCTATTTTCGTGATTGTAACACGTGTATATTTGTCTTTGATGTTTATTTACGTCATATTTGCAGGCTTTCTTGAATCCACTTCAAGGAATTTTTAACTATTTCCTCTATCGTCGAGCATTTCGAGTAACAGCAACAGACACTCGACCTGAACCTAATGCGTTACCACGTGTTAAACGAGTTCCCTCAGAAAGACTTGGTAAGTTTACCCCACGTCAAGTCTCAAAGAATCGCACATTGCAAAGAATTATGGCTTCAACGTCAAGTCAAGACGAAGAGGCGCCACTCATCCGACCAAGAAGCGCGGAAGCACCTCCTCAATATGTGTATAACAGTAGACTGTTAGGTCACGAGGATATAGGTAAACTGGTAGAATAACTAAATAGTTTGTTTAGGTATAGGAGTAATTTTATTTGATTTAATGGGTTTTTATACTATATAGAGATTAGTCGGGTTGCTACCGTATCCTGCTTAAGCCTAGCGAACCCTATGATGATAACTGGAACGATAACTCGGTGACCATCTTTGAAGCTAATTTGAAGCCGGATCGGGCCCCAGTACCAGTTGGTTCAATGGTTCCATTGTTTCTGTTTTCACGTTCGGCGATCGATCACGCCGAGAGAAACAGTAGAAAGACTGGCATTCCTACTCAATCTGGCTTCAAAGTGGTGTCAAAAATGGCAACGAAATATAATTCCATATTTAGTAAATCCTGAATGGCAAACCTATGTTGAGATTAGGTACGTATTAATTAGGCCTGTTTTCCACTTCAAGCGTAACGTAACGTATTTCTGTCTTTCCGAGTATTCGACACGAACTAATGACTTTAAAACAACGAGATACGCTACGTTTCGCTACGATACAGTAAAAGTGGAAAACGGCCTTTAGGGTTTGATTAAGAATGACCTAGAATTGACATGGAAATGAGAGGATAACTTATAGCTAGGTAGAGAGAACGCGGTAAACTAACGGGATCCGAGAGATACAAACGTCGTATACCTACAGAAAAGGATAAAATATTGTCGGAGAAACAGGTTGATGAACACCAATTTTTTGGTTGAAATTTTATTTAATGTTATTAAGCATAATATAATATCAATATTGAATTTGCCATATTTATATTAATAGTATAACTTAAAGCAAAAACACCCGTTATAATAGACATAAATTATAACCCACGCGTTTTATATATTACAAATTGTAAATTAAAACACATAACACTGCACCTTCATTTATACAGTATTTATTCCAACACGATAAAATAATACTGATGTTGATTTGACTAACAATACTTTGTTTGGGATCCTTTACCAGCAAACAATTTCTGATGAGACATACTCCAATGGAGACCTTGCAGCGAGGTATGGGCTTTAAATTTAAAATAGCAGTGAAGTAATTTCGTCTTGTTTAATAAACAACGTAATACAAGTCGCCTCTGCTTGCAGTTTCAGTTTCATCTTTCTGTTTAACCTTATTTCCTATTTATTTTTAAAAAATGAAAAGACAGTTATATCTGTCTGTGTTACCTACTTTACTGCTACAAATTTTAAGGGCAATTAACAGTACCACGCCCACCTGTGACGTCCCTGTATTATATGAGGGGATCATAGGGGTGCAAGTGACCCTGAGCGCCGGTGCTAATTTTTTTACTAAAAGAGTCACCATAGATAAAATATATGCGTAATGTCGTCAGGTGTGCGGAGGTCTAAATCTCACAAATATCTTATTTGCATCAATGTCTATGGCAGGCAAATAACCTAATATTTGAGCTTGCATGGCTCGTCGAATTATTAATCGCGATTACAATGTAAGTCTGGCTCTAGCCGTAAATCCACCGAGAGCCTTATTTTTTAAGAAATCTAGCTCAGTCGTAGCAAAATAGAAAACTGCGTCCATTCTCCTTCTTCTGGTGATCTCAGATCTCCAATTATATCTTCATTTCTATATTAAACAAAATACATTGTGAAACAGGTGGTTTGAAATACAGGAGCTTATGAAATCATACACAATTTCAATTTACGTTTCCCGACTTTGGTGCATGCATCACCAAATTGGTGCTTGTAGCAAAAATTCCACTTTCATAAATGAACCACTGATTACCTGAGCTCAGTTTTGTTGAAGATGATATGAATGTTTATAACAGGCACAAGAAGTCTAACTGCTAATTTTCTCTTGATTTCCTCAGCATTGTCGTAGCTTTGTAAAACCATTCTAAAACATGGGATATTTCATCATTACTTGCCTTTAAATATACTGAAATGCTGCTAGCATACAAAATCTCAATCAATAGAGAATTATAACTTATAAGAGGATGTATTAGGATTATATCTCTAAACCAGGGCATTGGAAATCCTATGTATAGAGCGGTGCTGAACGGTGAACCGGTATGCGCATACCGAATCATTTCTTTGGACTGGGTTGAGCCAGTGTTTCCGCTGTCAAATGTTAGGTCCGAGTCCAAACTAATCGAATCTGCATACTGAGGGCTTACAGGATCTGAAGATGAAGATTAAAAAAATGCTAAAGATAAATGCAATGCAATTAATATAAAATACAATTCATCGAGCTAATATTTTTCACACTTTACAATCTTTCGCCAATTTTATTAATTTTAGGATGTCCTCTAAACTGTACTGATAAAAATTCCTAGTTTTAAATTTAGTTTAATAGGGGAATCATCACAGGGGTCCATCACAAGTTGTGAAACGCCCACTTGGTCATGCAAACAAACATTGTTTTGTGTCAGGGTACACAACCTATGTAGCAACCGTTAAATGTAATTTCACTAAGGACACTTTCATCTTCGCCCTGTAGTCATCGTTGGTAATTAGTACCAAAGTAAAAAATATTAATTGTAACAAATTTTAAACCTTGTTCTAAAAATATTAGCTCATAATAGAGATTGTTTGCTTTTCTAAATGATTCTGGCCAGCTATATCCTTTTCCTTGAGGTTTGTACGACTCGTGCTTAATTCCAGTATCCTTGCTATTAAAATTCGTGCCATAGACATAATATAATTTCTTAGACTGGTCCTTCTTGGGGCCCTTGAATACGTAATAGAATTTGAATGCGTCTTCAGGGTTTACCACAGCATCTGTTCAAAAATGAAAAATACTTCTTAATGAAATGCTATTGCAGTTACTGTAGGAAAAAAATTGAATACGTACTTATAAAAGAACAGACAACATAAATTTACATTTGCCTTAGTTTTCAATTAAATTGGACAAAATTTACTTTCGTTTACTAATTTGTAGTAATCAATCATTCCTTGTTTTAATGAAAGAAGAAAGGTAGTTTTGGAACACTAAATAACATATCTTTTATACAATTTAAGTATTATATTTTTATTCACCACTATGACAGAGTATGTTTTGGCATGATGATTCTTGGCCATTTATAGGAGAAACAATTAATGATCTTAAGCGCTGTTCAAACTCACTCTTTTGAACCATTTACCTTCACTATAGTCATCAAGCTTAGGATGATAAAAATAACCAGTTTTTGTTTTTTTAGTGGGTACATCTAAATTACTTTGCTCCCTTGTAATATCACGATGCCTGACTGTTCCATGACCTAAATCCAGTAAAGCAGGCGAATGTGCTGCAAGTATCTGCAAAAATATTGAGTTAATTAATAGAATTATATCACCACCTGGCTAGGAACATAGCAGCACACATGTGTAATGCAACATATCAAAGTACAGTAACATATCTAAGGTTCAGACTAAAGTAATTCATCTACTCTTTTCTTCATCAATGACCTAGCTAATGGACTCTGTTCCCCCTGAGGTTCATGGGTGATTTTCTGTGTGACAACCCTTTCTCTTTAGTTGTTTTCTTTATTGTGTGTGTCAGAGATGTTTCACTATATATATACTTAGAACCTTAATATGAAGAGAGGAGTGTCTCACATGAATGTATGACTCACATACAAGAAAGAGAACAGCCAAAATTATTTCTGATTGTCACACACATACAGAGAATAGTAATATAAATTTTTATTAGCTACAGTACTCATTCTTCGTAAACGGTAATTTAAGACCTTTAGAAGGTGGATAGGAGTGTGACTATTTGCCTATCAGGTTGTGACAGAGACCTGCATTCAAACATTTTTACAAATAAGCAATGTGTGCTCATTGTGCTGAAACTCAGATTCCACTGTAGTTGAAACAGAACCTGTGTGACCATCAGTAACCTGTGTGATCGTGCGTACCAAACCCTAACTTTCCAGTCAGCTGGATTCTAACAAGTCACTTAATAATTAACCCTGCTTTCCAGGGTCACATGTTAGAGTTTAGAACGTCTGTAATATTATCTACAGTATTCATAGAGTAATTATTTAATACGATTTGATTTTTTAATATGCAATATCTTCAGTGAACGACATCATACTGACGAAATATTGTTGGTCACACTCACTTTGTCATGATCGCTATTCTTGCCACTACCCGCGTTATTCGATACAGCCGAGCCCATTTGACTTTAAAAGCAATAACAGCTTGCATTTGGGTTGGAAAAATTTGTTTCCATATTTACGCTGGGATCAAAATCGATTTTACATTTCGTAGCAACCAGAATATGCGAAGTTCTACAACTGATTACTTTATTGTTGTTTGTTGTTGTCATTGGTGTTCCAATCATTCATAAACGTCATGTTAATTTCAATATAGTGGGTTATGGTGTGTGTAGTTACTAGTTAAACCTCGGGACTACCTTGGGATTTGCTCTTAGACTTTCTAAATATATAGATTTTTATATACAAAGTCAATTTCTGCCATTTCTCAAATTAACATTTATGAAGAGACATTTTCAGCCTTTTTGCAATCCCACACTCTAACGGTCACGGGTGTAAGTGGTGAAGCCATTTTTCTTTGATTTTTTAATTTTTCAGAAGTTGTAGAGAAGATGCGAATTGACCCAAGTGCAGAAGAGTCGAGAGCCTTATCAATTCTGTACCCGATAGTGCATTATATGTTGCCCGGCGACAGGGTTTGAATTATTTAAAATTATCTCTTGAATCTACCTGCATAAGCCATCAAAAGCAGGAGTGCATAGGGATTGGGCATATATTAATGAACCTGTACAATTCCTTCCCCGTTCAGTTGTGTGCAGCGTGTGCGCGTATAGCGTTCACAATTACAGACAGTGTTAGTGCACAATATTTAACAACTCGTATTATTAAACTGAATAATTGTATGTATAACGACAACAGGTGCCACAATATTGCATGTCCTGTCGACTCGTATAATGGAAACATGTTAACCACGCTACACGGATATGTTTTCTACGCTCGGTAACTTTCAAAAAAACTCGCTGTTTAAATCGCTTACGATTCAACACTAAGCAAACTTCGAACACGAGACTAAAATATCCCTAAGATCCAGACGATCTAAATCATCTAATTGCATGTGAGATATCCCTTTTGTTCATATTCTCACTGTTATACACTCAATCTCGAACGCATGAATTAAGCGTATCACTTTTTATAAGTTTTTAAGTGTTTGACCGCAATAACCTGCAGCTCAGCTTGTTTTAGCAACGTCGACAACTCATTGACACCGTGCACTACGTATTTGGAAATGTGAACTGAATAACGATAAAGTCTCTACAATCAGATAACTTTCTCTGTGTGGTTTTCCAAAATGAATTCAGGTAGGCGAAAGCTTCATAAAATATAGGTTAATGATTGTATATTAATCACTGAATATCACCGTAGCCAAAAATAATATTATTGTTGTGTTAGTTGATTCGAGCAGCTTTCTGGAGCAGATGTTTTTAAATTCTTCATGAGGCCGTTTTTAAATTCTGCATGAATGTAAGATATATTAACCAAACTGAATTGCTTCTATGCTGGAGATTTCCTGCATGGGATACTACTGGATATTCATTATGGCAAACATAGTGTGTTCTTGTAATGCCGGACCGTTGTGTGATTCTGCTCTCAGTGATTTCCCCCAATTTAGTGACTGCATCATAAATCTGTACATTATATAATTTAAACGTACAGACTGATTTACAACAATGGAGACGTTACTGCGTACCTGGTTATCCAGCAACAGACGTGTAGACAAATGTAAATTAATCCGATCTAGGTTTGAGGAAAATATCGTACATGCATGCATGCATGTTTGTGCATTATTGGTTAAACGCAAAACGGGAAAAAATAACTTCCGGCAAATTCACAGATATATATTTATTAAACCTTTCTTTATTAAAAGGAGAAATGGAGTCCACTTTCCCAACACCTTCCATTGAATATAAGTATGTATGGATGAAAGAGTCTGTATTCCTTGCGATCCTGGGATTAGATGGACTGGCGTTTATATATTGCATATGTTGCGCGCTTGGGATATTGATTTACAGAAGACATTTGTAAGTATACAGTGCAAGGGCCAATTGCATGAAGGCTGCTTAGTGCTATCCACCTGGCAGATTGGGATTTTTCAACCGTTGTAAAAATGCATAAAAAAACAAAACAAAAAGATAATCTCTAATTCAGTGTTAACACACAAGGTACCTGGCCAGGGGAGCCAGGTTAGACGGAACAAGGGGCAATTTTGGAGCAATTGAAAAAATCACTGTCTGCTAGACAGCACTACCCTGCTTTCGTACAACCTCTGTTGTATCAAACAGCATTTTAAAATACAGCGAAGAAGAATTTGTGCTCATGTTTTGAAAATTCAGCCAAGATAAAGAAAATGCAAATCATCAATTGGTGTATTTTATTGCACAGTCGTTTTCACCGTATTTTTTCCATTCCAGGATATTTGCGAATACAGGTTGTGTTCTTACTTACACGTTCATTGTTGGTTGTATCATGATGCTAATGTCTGCCCCATTGTTTGGAATTGACAGTAGTTTAACCGACAAAATAAATATCCCTAAAGCGTGTATGGTAAGTTACGGCACTTATATTTTGTGGAAATAATCTGACTCTAAAATGCACTCTAAATGTAGTAGTGTAATATAAATTAACTTTAACATCGAACTTTGATGACATTTCAATCATGCCATTTTAATGAGTCATATTATTCATATAGGTCGGTTGAGCTTTTGCATATCCTCCCCCTTCCCTTTAATCCACCTCTGGTGAACAATGGTGACAACCCGTCTTTCATGTGGTTTTTTTCTGAATGATATCGGAACAATCGCTTAATGCATGAATAATAATTATAATATGATTTCTTACAATGCTTTCCAGGCTCGTATTTGGCTGCTTTCTGTCGGGTTCAGCTTAAGTGTTGGTATTATGTTTGCTCGAGTTATTTTTACCGCTTTTATGGAACTGATCAGAGAATTCAAAAATTATCAGGTATATTTTCAGCTCTATTTTGGTTGAAACTATATAGAAATGAAAATTAGGCATTCTGGCATAACCAAATTATATTATTTTGATACCTATATCTAGATTACGTCATATGCTACCATGCTTTTCGTGGGTAGTATGGTAATAATCGACACACTGGTAGTGATAGCCTGGCGCCATAGTTCACCTCCACGTAAGGATTACGTTACAAAAGAGGTAGAGATGAGATTCTTTTTTATTTTTTATGATATCAATGATGGAGACTGCCTTTAGTTTTTTGTGTGAGAATCCGAATGATACTTGTTTGTGAAGATTACTTCTCAGCAAACTAAACCTAGTTAACGTAACAACTTAAAAAACATATGGAAACTATTGCAAGAACATATTAACAGTGCATGGATGAATTTTTAGCGAATGAAGAACAATTGCGATTTCGATTCGAATTCGATTTTTCCCCACGAAGCACCATACCTGGTTCCATATTTCCCAACAACTACACATTTTTTGTACGTTTTGCCATTTCTGAACAAATTGAATTTTATTATATAGATAGAACGCATTGGTCTGCGTGATGAACGGAGAACTTTGGTGGAAACCTGCAACTCGGATAAAGAGTCTTTGTTGATTGGTTTTCTGTGTTTCTACAAAGGAGGACTATTGCTTGTGGCATTGATTATTTCTATATTTAAAAGAGAGGTAATATTAACTAATGATAGACTCAGGGTTTCTCCCGTTGTTTTTACCACCGTACTTATCCCGTGAATTGCTAATCTTCCACAGCTCTTCTGAAAGAAAACTTTCCCATATACGTTAACATTACATAATCCACATGAAAACGCCAACACTTTCTACAACCGCATTCTTTTTCCCCGCCAAAAATGTTTTTATTATAATTTTGACAGGAAGAAGAGTGGCGTTCTAAAGATTACAACCAATGTAAAGTGGGACTGTTGTCAGTTCTTGTCGCAGGAGTAATAGGAACGTCTGTTGTTCTCAGTTTACCATTTAATCCAAACAGAAGCTTCGCTGTTGGCGGAGCGTTTCTCATATTGGAAGTTACCTTCTTAATGACATGGGTGAAAGCTTCAAAGGTATTTCCTGATCGAGAAAGTTCATCGGATGTTCAGTGAAATATATTTATATAAATGAAGATCAACGAATCAACATGTTTTGCAAACTTACATTTCTTTTCTCCAGATTTTCAATGCGCACAAATGCAAGAAGGGGCAGGCAATGGAGTTTGGTAAATACTCAATTGAAAAGAGTCTCACACCACATGTTCCGTGCGTACGTCCTGTGTATGGTTGCGTATATGACATTAATAGTAAAGGATTCTTGAATGAAAGTTTTGCCGACAGTGCGGTAAGTCACTCATAATGGTGCACCCTTGCCGTCCCCCTCCCCCCCCCCTCCGTATAGTTCCCGGCATAGTTTTTTATTATATTTATTTCACATGCACAGTATACTATGGAGACGATCAATTCCGAGTACGCCAAGGAAGAAAGCCAAGATGATGATAATGAGGTACGTGACAGAATACGAGTATAAGACGACCATTGAAGGAGAAGCTTGTTGACCTCTATCTAGCATAATGTCATCAGGTCAAAGGTCATATATATAACAGTTATACCACCCTAATATTTTACTAAGTTGACATCACATATTATAGTTAAGGCATACTTTCCTACAAATACTTGAATCCATATTTATATATTATTCTACTCCTATATATCAATCATCGAATCAATATATTTTCGTTTGCAGGATGGTGGAATGGGCTTTGACAGCAAAGTGTCAGAAGATTTCTTACCGTGTGGTTTACCTTCGGAAGAGGATTATAACTTGAAACCATATGATCCTGACGCCGAAGAAGAGGTAGAAACTGATGATGAAGCTCAGGATAAACCCGAGGGAGGAACATCTGATGACTACACAAGCAGTGATAGCAGTGATAACGAGGATCGTGAAGAAGACGAAGACGCTATGTCAACCGGGGACGTAGCCGCCAGGAGCACTGTCTCGCTACACATGAACAAGTCCACGAAAGGAAGCCAAGTTCTCAGTGAAACTAGCGACCCACAACACCTATCTGAGTCAGTCGGAAGTAGTCAAAAAGGTTGGTGGAAACCACTTTTTAAAGGAAAGAAGGAACCACGGAAACCTGCAGATCAAAATAATAAAGATATGCAAAGTGATAACAATAATTGGGTTCCCCCGGTGGCTCCTACTGCACCCAATAATGCACCTAATACGTCCACAAAACCAAGTGAAGAAACAAAAGTTGAAGAACATGAGTCATCATCATCTGAGAGCGAAAGTGAGACCAACGCGACGCCAAAAAGATGTTTCACACCCCATGGTGGAAGCGCGTCAGAGGGCGACGATTCTGACAGTTCTGAATCTGATAGCGATTAAATTGTTTTTGCATCATATTCACATTTATATGACTGTTTTGCGATCCTGGTGTATTGGTACGATGATAACATAATGTTTTACAACACAAAGACATTTCTTATCAAGCTATGCTTTAGACATTCTGCACAGTACAATTAATTACTTGTTCATTACGCATGCTGAATTATATAGCATAAGGGTTAAAGAATAAATACCATGTAAATACGTAATTGATACTCTGCCTCTGGTCCCTGGGTACGCGAATCAAACTTCCTCCTGAAATAGGTTTAAATGTTTTGCACTCTGGACTTATGTATAAATGCCATTTCGTGCACGTCTGATGTTTGACAATTTTATCTCGTGCAATCATGCATACCTTCCGGGAAATTCCAGAAACTACCTGGAACAAATTTCCAGAATATTTTCGTGGAGATATTAAAGGCAATCAGATTAGATTCACCCGTGGAAAAACAACTTTGTCGCAAGAATAGTAATATAATTTCCAGGAATTGTTGCTGCCGAAGTATAAAGGTTCGTTAATTGATTGAGGTTGTCGGCTGTCGCGCATTCCTGGACCCGAAGGTATAGAAAAGCTGCCAAAAATTACCAAAGCTGCCACTATGGCGGTGTCGAATACTACGACTTCGTTGTCTCAGGTTAGTGGTCAATTCTTAGTGATTATTTTGCCATATATTTTTATTTTAATGAACAATTTGTTCACTTTATTCCAAAATATGTATAGTTGGTTTCGATTTCTTTCAATGTATGTAAATGTTGTAATTTCAATTTGTGTGTACATATTTGTCACGAAGTGTACGGATTGTGTATAGATAATGAACTGTATTCTGTATAGAATATTGACATTCATTGCCAGGCTTTGAAATTTCTATCGATTAGCAGTATATTTGTTGCTAAAATCCCGTACATCAACAAGGATCAATTGTTATAATAGGATGTGTCATGGGCCGGTTGATGTTCTTATTTCAAAATACTAATTTTATAAGTTATGTTATAACCAATCAATCCAATTTAATGGGTCACTGGTCGCAAATATCTACACGAATTCAGCGTTGAAGCTGCAAAATATGCTTACTTTTCTACTGATCGTTTTGTTTACATTCAAAATCAAATTAAATCCATAGATGATCAGTAACTACTCAATGTACTTTCTATAAAGATATATACACACAATATGTTTCATACAAAAGTAAAATCTGTAATAGGTAATATCAAGCTTCAATAAGGTATGTCTTAATTTGATTTAATTTGATATTGGTTTATATCAAGTTTCAATGGTACTATGTTTTTTTCTTCATTCGACTATATTTTACCAATGGCAATGTATCTTCATTCCTAAAATTTTGTGAGGGATGTACACCCCTGGTTACAAGATGATAAATATACCCAAGCCATTATACTCCATTGAACAAAATCAAAACAATGTACATTCAGGTCACCAAATTTAGGTTCTATAACCAGCATTATTGATTAACATGGGATAAAGTGACTTTAGTTGGTCTTGTCTGCTAGGAATGCTAAAAAGAAGATGAATATTGTCAACTTTTTTGGTGTCTCTCGATCAGCATGCATTAATTCCCCTTACGGTTGCATTTAATGCATTATATATTACACTTTTCTTGATTAGATTACATGTCCATCTCTTTCAGTAATTTGTTACCCTATAGCACCTTAGTAGGCATGTGTAAATCAAGAGTTTTGATACTTTAACTTATCATCACAGAAGAAACATAAATCTCAAGTCCATCTATGAGTCGATAGAAGAGCTCCTCTTAGGGGGAGCTATGACACAGTAATTAGTAATGTCTGCTTCAACAATGGATTGCTTGTATAAAAATTTTATTTTTGGGCCCTAAAAACAAATACTCACAACAATTAAAGACAGCCCTTCCCATCTTCCAGTAAAGTGTGTTAAGTACTGATCTCTGGCACTTTTATGTAATGGTTCAATGTTTTTTATGTATTATTCTAGTGCTTTAACAATTAATTTGTAACTTATTTGAAAGGCATATGTAGTACTGGAATAATGTATTTCTCTGTGTATGATTGATTTCATAGTGGAAATTAGATTAACTTTTGCTTGGTCTATTTGGGTGGGTAATTAATTAAGAAGGATTATTGGGATGAATTTCTACCCTGCTGCTTGAAGTAAATTGATGACCAATACCTGCCTGGCTAGCTGCTCCTTGTTGGATGTTAAATTTGTCAAGCACAGGGTTAGCAGCACCCAAACCTGGGATAACCCTATCAGTAATGAGTATTCTTCATGCTTCCCACTAAAAGGTCATAATGTGGATATGTGAAAGGCACCCTCTAGGCAATATATGTATGCTGATTTAATAAAGTTTGTGTTCTTCCATTCCAGCTTTCAAGTGGTCATTCAGCACTGTTCGAGAATTTATGGAGACAGGTAAACATTTTCATACATCAAGCTGCAATATTTGAATAGACAACTGACAAGTATAAGGAGGACTTTGAGAGTCTCAAAGGCCTTTTTCCTGCTAGTGTGGTGTAAACCTCAAAGGGCTTTTGTCAGCAAATGAAGTTAAGCCGTAACGAAACGTTCGTGTCAATTAGCGAAGTAAATCTGTTAGATTTATTAACTTGTAACGAGCACCGTGTATAGATCAGGTAGCAAAGGTGTGGATAGTGGTTGTAATGGTGGTAGTGGAAGGCAAAGTTAGACCTGTTTTCTAACTGTTATTCTTAATGAAAATTGTTGATTTGGCAATGCGGCTAAATGAGACTGCTTTGAGGACAGCGGTGCTCTTGTTTGATCGCTGCTCACGCTACGAATGGTATGATGGGTTATTGTGTAATATTATAACATAGATTTTCAATGGTCGAGCTCCCTTGACGGATTTTTCTTGCTTTTTGCGCAAAGTTTTTCCCAAAAAAAAATTACCATTGTAGATTAGACTGGAAAAGGAAAGAAAATAGTCATTAGTCTGGGCCAAAGGCTTCTTTTCACTTCGGCGTTTATACGTACGTGTACGTACGCACGGGAAAGCTTAAATTGTTATATTTTTAAATGAACGACTTATAGAATGAAATGAAAGAATTTAAGTCTCCGTATCGAGGTGTTTCGTAGTAATGTGAAACTTGAAAAGATTGAAACCTTTTTGTGCAGCCTAGCGGAAGCTTGAATATATCAATGATTCGCAGCTTTCCTGTCTTGAATCGATTAATGAATGAATAGTTACTGATTAATGATATATGATTAAATATGATCTGATAATTGAAGCGTTTTTTCGTTCGTTTACACGTGCACTTGATTTGAACATGCCCTGAGTCATGTATTTATTTTAGGCGGATGTCTTAGGAACTGGTCAACTCAGTGCAGATGATGCTGCCAGATTTCTTAAAAAATCTAGTCTCGGTGATTCAGTATTGCATGAGGTAATGTTACTAATACAAAGTGTTGACAGTATTGCAAGTTCTTGTCAATCTTTGTCTTATGTCACCGATTGCAAGTATGATATAAAGAAATACTGTAGTTCATTTACACCGGGTGTTTTTTGACAGCAATATCATAAAGATTTTTTTTATTCATGGAAATGATTTTTTCATTTCATTGTTTGAGATACTTGTGTATTTCCTGCTTCAAAATATCAATTCCCTTGTCCATTATTCGTACTACTATTCGTGTTGAACTTTTCTTTCAAATTGTAGATATGGAAGTTAGCCAATCCACTAGGAAAACCTCATTTGGATAAACATGTAAGTTATTGAAGAGCTGTGGTCATTTAGGGCCGTGTGGGCTTACTGGGCTATCCCTAACAATTCAACCGATGTGTTGCATATGACGAGGATATCTGGTAGAAAATGTACTCGATATGCAAATGTACTGAAAATTTATCATGCTTCGTCTTATAAAGACATTGATGGATAAACCGTATTCTTTAAAGGAACAAACAATTTCCCCGGGCAATTTTGATGGTGTAAATATTGCTTATATTATAGGGATTTTATGTAGCATTGCGACTTATAGCAAATGCCCAAAATAGCAAAGAAGTCAGTCTACTTCACATCTCCACACCAGGTCCTGCTCCAAATTTGGTAGGTATGAAACAAAAAGCTAAGTAGACGATATAATATAGGACGTCACCTTGGGCGAAGTCTCATTATACACTGGCGGTCAAAAAGAACTGCTCAAATGTTGCTATTATCGTATGTGACAGGAATCATTACCATCTATCTTTTATTGCACATTAACGATCAAAAAGAACTGTTTAGATACCAATTCATAAAAAGGAAGCGAACATAGGAGAGAGCTTCATAGGCATTTTGGATAATTCTCTTATTCCAAGCAATATTTCAATAATGTAATGCAACCTGCCAGACTTCCAAGATATAGTCAAACAATGGTTTCAGGAAGAGGGCGTGACAGAAATGGATTGACCTGCACGGTAAAAAGACCTTCGCCCTATTGAAAATCTATGGGACAATTTCAAGGGGATAGTGCAAGAAAGGAATTAATTCATAAAGCGTCCATGATTTATGGGTTGCTGTAAAGGCTGTCCATAGGATGAATTTCTTTTGACCGTTAAGATTACCACCTTAACAGAAAGTATGCCACGCCGGTGTAAGGCCGTCATCATTTATAAGGCCAAAGGAGGGTCAACAAAGTATTAATATTTCATATAGCTTAGCATGTAATCTAGTCTATATTTACTCGTATATATTGTTAGAGGGACAGTTACGTTAATTTGAGAGCATTTTAACTTGTTTTGAGCAGTTCTTTTTGACCGCCAGTGTATAAACTCTTAATACAAACTATTGATTTTACATTTATAATACTTCGTCGCGGGATTTTACATACATAATACTTCGTCGCGAGATTTTCGTGAAGTACCTACAGTGTCGCATTCCGAGGTCTTAGCACGGTTTCATTGGGGTTCCTACCAAGACACTAAAGAGGCATTTTATACCGACAGAGAAGCCTCGTTTGTATGCATAGATCATGACTGGATTTATCGTCCGCCTTGTGAGATTCATGATTTATACCCAACCAAATTTCGTGAATTAGGTCATTGGTCACATGCACACTCTTTATACCCGATACAAATTAGATTGATAAGAAAAATCAGAAAAATACAACCACTAGTGTTTGTAACTGATTTTGCATATCTATTCAAACCTTATTCATTACAAATTCATTTCACAAGTTGTTTACAACACTCGCGGCCGTGTTGTATTTCATATGCAATTTCCTTTTTAGTTTTGTTTTTTATATCTTAGGGTGAAATGAAAATCTCATCTGTCATACCAACTTTGCCTAGTGATAGCCTGGGATGGTTAATTCAGGTAGGCCCAGTGATTTCTAACATGCATAATCTCGACAACTCGATCTCTTTCCTATTGTTTAGTTATCAAAAGACCCTTCTTTGGCTAAAATAAAATGATCAGTTTCGGATATAGCTCCAATTAATATAGGTTTTTTAGAATATGCCTAAAGTCGAACAATGCCTCGAGATAAAAAATTTCAGTGATTGAACGATCTTGTAATTAGCGTTGTCGTGCTTGCAGTCCAAAACGCAAAACTATATGAATTTGCAATAAGCAAAAAGCTTTTTAGGTGAAATAACCTTGCTTAACCTTGCCTTGGGAGGTTTAATGTTGATACAATGTTGATGTATAATACTCAATATGTTCATGTCTATAGCTTTCAATCTTCCCAATCTATAAGCCAGAGATTAATTATATTGTAGTTAATTAAGTTTTCATAATATTTGTGGGGAACGAATATTGATTCAACAAATCGGGCATGCCTTCAACATAGCGTTGGACTGGGCGTCAAAATGATACGGAAATGCTTGAAAACGCTCGGAAACAACCTCCGCGTGCACATCACCATAGTAATCACAGATATCCAAAGTATATTTTCAAAGATGAAAAACTGACAGAATTTTATTGTAACTAAACGTCCTTTTTAGGGAGCGGAGAAGTCAAAGTATGATGGGATATTTGAGGTATAATTCGATACTATATTTCTATGGTTTCATGTTTGCTTTTAATCTGCATTGTAGATCTGCATTATGCATGCATGGTCAGCTAACTTTTTTCATGTTGCCAAACGTTATAGTCCTTGGTTCCTGTCAATGGTTTGCTCTCTGGCGATAAAGTCAAACCCGTAAGTACATATGCATGCTGCTTGATTCTGCTAATCTGCAATAGGATAAGTGTACTCTGCGTTTTAGGACGCTGCTAAAAAGAAAGTATAAGAATGTGAAACTTTTCAAAAGGATTTGCGGATTTAAATATGCACGGTTCCAGGGTGAATGCATGCAGCATGTTTTTTAGGGTCTGTGGTCCTTATGTGGGAAACCCAGCAAATCTATAAAAGTTTACATATGCTCTAGATAATAGATATGATATATAGATAATGTCTTTGTGAAATCAACAGCAATTTGATATACATATATGTCGCTTTTGAAATCAGTGGTACACACCCCTCTCCCTCCTCCATAGATTACTGTGGATCACAAATGCTATATGAAGATATTTAAGTTACTAACGTACAAAGAGCTTTTAAACGTTAGATATCGTTAGATAAACTCTTAAGCTGTTTTTGCGACTGACCCAGAGGTTAACTGATGCAGTAATTACCAAAAGTTTGACCGACTTGTCCTTAGTCTGCTGCATGTGGCCTAAAAACGCCTTATTTAAATGTTTTTTTATTTTTATGTTATCGAGTTTACAGACAGACAAATATAAATAATAGCTGTAACTTAACTTGCCGGGAGATGTAAAGTTAATATTCTTGCATAGAGGAAATATGATGAACACTGCTTTTCAGGTGCTGTTGAATTCTAAGCTTCACGTGGATGTTCTGGGGAGAGTATGGGATTTATCCGATATAGATAAAGATGGAATGCTAGATAAAGAGGAATTTGCCGTTGTAAGTAAACTTTTATATCTCATGACTTACGAAACACCACCTCTGCAGGAATTCAATATTTTTTATGCATATTTTTGCAATTTTCAGTGGCAAAGACTTTATACTGTAGATTTTTATTTCCAAACTGTTTCATCCATTTCTTTCTGAGAAGCTTCTCGTTCCAGTCATTTGACGACAATCATGCATGTCACATTAACGACACGCACACACTCAGTCAGTAATAACATTATATTTTACACTCCAAATGCGTTCATTATAGTTGCTAATATCACAGCATGCTTGATGTTCGTGGTCGTCGTAATAAATATGTTTTATGGCCCGGATATTTCATATTAACATAATATGCCACGACCGCGCGATCTCAGTCGCCACTCTCACCAGGGTCTTAGAAATCAATTGTATATGATTTCAAGCCTGGTAATATGATCTTTTTCAGGCGATGTATTTAGTGTACAAAGCTCTTGACGGAGAGACAGTTCCTCATATCTTACCATCAAGACTTGTACCACCTTCTAAAAGATCCCTAATTCGTGGTTCACCCAACGTGTCACCTGGCGTCTCACCTACCCCAAATATGATATCAGCTACTGTTTCGCACGTAAGCATTTCTCTCTCTTGTTGCCGAAAATTTAAAGCTCTTAGCAGCATAAACATAAATGAATAAATTTTAATATGATTTATATTACTTTAGGGATCCAATGAGACACCTTGGGTTGTGACTGCGGCAGATAAAGCAAAATACGACGCAATGTTCAAAACTGCTGATAAAGATAATGATAATTTAGTGACAGGTATTTTACTATTCGTGCAGAGGACTGGAAGGTAGACGATAAAGTAGGTCACACAAGTCAATAACAGTAGACTGCGAGCTAGGGGTCGTACAATCGTTTTTATTTTTTTTTGTTTCCTTATATGCACTGTTTGAAATGTTTGCAATATATTTCACCATAGTAACCACAAGTGCATTACAAAGTTGTATAATTTAAGAGATGTCTTGCCATAAAAAATAAGATTCACGTGAGGAGCAGGTTCTGATCCGTTACTCTTCTCTTGATATGTACTGGAGCTCTAAACGTCCCAACCAGTCTGAAATATTTTATATATACCACTTCCAGAGCAATTCAAAAACTAACAAGCTAAGTGCCGTAAGTTCCAAATAGGACTGTCTGTGTTAATGATTCGACTGTATGTAGGAAGTCTAAGAGTACATGAGAGTCAAATGCCATACTGGAGTTCAGTTGAATGAATGATTGAATGTTGGTGGCTATGCCACCCATATTGACGGGAAATATTTTATAGGTGATGAAGTAAAGAATATATTTATGGCATCTGGGTTGCCACAGTCGCTACTTGCTCATATATGGTAGGTTGATATCATTATCCCTTGGGCCTGTGTACATTGTAATCATAGCCTGGGTGAAAAGCCTTTACGGTGATTATTTTTTGTGTTTTATTACAGGGGTTTAAGTGACATGAATAATACTGGGAGGCTAAATAATGAACAATTCTGTCTTGCGATGTATCTTATCCATCAAAAAGTTAGTTAATTCAAAATAAATATTTCAGTTTTTCATGTTGTAACGAATCAATCATAGTGCTAACTATTGAACAGGTATTTAGGTTTTAATGTTTGATAATACTATCACATTTTGCACCCGCAAATATCCCGTTTCCGATCCTATATTATACCTCCCTACCCTAATCACATCTATCTAACTTTTATCACCCTCTCTAACCATATTACCCATCCTGACGCTAAAATCCCTCTCTAACCTTGATATGAATGATAAGCGCTTCCAATAACATCCGATGAACATCCCATCCCATCAAAAGTGGTATAATAACTGCCTAAAACAGACCAAAAAAACTTCTCGACGTTTAGACCTTAGTGCGGTATGTTTACTCCATTGTCTTACAGGTAAAGGGCATTGAACCGCCGCAAACATTACCACCTGAAATGATTCCACCTTCAATGCGCGCTGCTGGAAAGCCTGTGGTGCCCGCTAGTTCTGCCTTAGATGACGCAAGCAAGGTATATTACAGGTCTATTTGAAGTATATAGTGTTAATTTAAAAGGCCTAATAGTTAGTGAACCTCACCTTAAATCAAGATTCCAAGTTCGTTTAAGACATACATCCTATAGGCTATATTGTCCATGCATAAAGTTCCTATAGGCTATATTGTCCAGGCTATATTGTCCATGCATAAAAGCTTTCAGTTTCTTTTATACTTATTGTTTGATCGTATAATGAAGCCTGCCTGATACAATATTTGAGTATTACGATCTTGTTTTTAGAGCAGCAAACCATCATCAATGGCTGGTGAACTGGATAAAATAACGAAAGAAATTGAAGAATTGGGAAAGTGAGTTTTATCGCGGACATTGTCTTGAACGTGTCTATGAACAATCCAAATAGACAAGAACATATATTCAATATTACCTGATAAAACAGTGTGGTTAAGAGAATTAAGAGCTCATTTTAATTTGTTCTATATCTAGGACCAAGACGACGCTCCAGAAGGAAATCGAGGAGAATGAAGACTTAGTTCGCCACAGACATATTGAAGTTCAAGTGAGTATTGAAGATACCTAATCGTTTGTTGCCATATAATTGTTTTAATACATACTTTTTGCACATGTTTAATTAAGGCGGTAGTGTTACATATGTACGTTTTATATCCCGTAGGATTTAGAAAATGAACTTGAAAAAGCGAAGGACGAAATGAAACAATTAGAGAAAAGAAAAGACGACACTAAAAGTCAATTGGATAAATTAGATGATGATGTAAGTTGATATCAGAATAGGTTATCCGTAGTATACCCCTGTCTGTAGACGATTTCAAAAGGGAGTTATAAACATCTTGATTTATTCAGACTGTTATTGTTATGGTGACTGAATAATGCGCGTCTGGAGTGTTAAAAATTTGATTTTCTCTTTAGAAAGCTAAATATGAAGGTCTTCTCAAAGAAGTACAAACAAAATGCCAAGAAGAGACACAAAAGGTCGAATGGATTTTTTTAACATACAAATTCTGTCATCTGTGCATTTACAATTATGGCTGATGCGTGATTTCGTTAACATTAATCCCATATTTATTCCAGATAAACAGTTTGAAGTCTCAAATCGCCGAAGAAGATTTGGCCATTCAGGTTTGTACACCCTCTAAAGCATTGGTAAATCAAAAAGAATAAGTCATGGAAGTCATTAAGATAGAAGTCATCAAAATCTGTCTTTGGGTTACGTCCAAGACGAAAAGCTCTGAATCCTCCTTTTCGGCCAGTGGACCACGAGGTGGGCTTGTTGGTTAAATTTATTTATTTATGCGAATATTCAATTGTAGAGTCAAGAAGATAAATTAAGCGCAGCAAGAAATGAATTAAATAAATTGAGACAGCAAGAAACTGAATTAGAAAAAGAGGTTAGTGTTGCGTATACTGTATGTTTACGATTTCTGTTCCTGTGTGATTGATGTGATAACGCAGCAAACAGAATAAGAATTTGGGGCGGCAAATTATGAATGATAGCAATGTGTAATTATTGGGCGACTGTACAGAGTTAGACATCCTGCTTTGCCAATTTGCCAAGTTATTACAATTATTCATTTCTTTAGAAATTGATTGTTTCCTCAATCATAAAGAATCAAAATTTAGCATAGCTGACTAAATTGTCAGGCTACGTCACTGCCCCCAGCTAGTAATTTGACTACATTTTGAATATGTTTTTGTCCTTTTTCTTGTAGGTACAAGAGGAAAAAGACAAACTAGAAAATGTACAAAAACAAGTAAAAACGGTGCAAACAGAAATTTCACAAGTATGTTGACTGTATGCATGCGCTATGTCTAAATATATTAAGACAATGATTTGATGAATAATGACATTGCTATGACTGAGATTTTTTTCATTACACACTTAACAACTATGGTAAGTGTCAATGCAAAAATATTAACTAGTTCCTGCCACACGGCATCGGGAAATGTTACACCGTGGTTACACTAGTTGCTCATGGCTTTTAACAAGATTTCTAAGCATTCTTATCATAAGCTTTCGTTTATCTGAACAGACAAGTGTTTTTTTATCTACAGGTCCAAGCTAAACTAAATGCGGTAAAGGAATCAAACGCGACATTAAATGGTGAAATAAGTACCTACAACGGCTTACTGCAATCAGGGGGCAGTCTCAACAACCACTCAAATTCATTAGGCATGACAGAGTTCGCTCCTATTGGTTCAGATGGTTTTAGTGATTTGATAACGACGACGTCGGAGATGGACTCGATGAGTATGAGAGCCACCGTAAGTGCATCATTTATTGTTGTCATGAAGGTACCGCTGCACATTGCGGATGCAGTTCTATTTGTACAATTGCAAATCCTCAATTACAAGAAGAGTTTTTCATAGTTTTCAATACGCGCATTGAATTTTTTGTGAGGAGTGGAATAAAGAAAGGCGTTCGTTATTTACAGGCAGGAAGCAGTCCAGTTAGTAGCATAAGTGGATTCAGTGTTGGATCAGGAAGAGTGGACGAGGCTGTTGATGATTTTAAGGTAAAATGTTGGTAAAACGTTGTGTTAATTACACGGGAAGGACGCACTGTGTTCAAACTTGGTTTATAAAAAGTAGAAAAAATGGGCAACGCCCTTTTTTTTTGCAAAAAATTAATGTTCAAAAACAGTGGTAATCCTGAAATGGGGAAAACTTTATGGATACGACACGATAAGGGAGCATTCACATGACACGACTCATTAATTCATTCTGTTCTCTGCAATTGGCTATTGAAAAAATACTTTATTGAGGACTGAAGCAGGCACTATAGAAGTTAAATGAAAATCGTTTTCCCATCTAAACGAGAAAGTTCTTTATAAAATGTTAACACCTTGTTTTTGCCTAGGACAAAGACGGCGACAATGATGATAAGGTGAATAATATTCTTTGCCTATTTTCACGTTTCAAGGACTATTCCAATATAAATGTTCTTATTTTAGGAAGTGGATCCATTTAAAAGTAAAGATGATTCAGGTGTGTTACTAAAATTAACTTATCTATAGGCCTCTCTAATAAACAGTTTGCGTTATGACATAGTTTGCAGTCAAATCATGTTTCATCGCGCAGATTCTTTATAACTTCATGAATTTATTATTATAGTTAGAAATAATTTTTGGCCTGTTTAGAACCATCTGACCCATTCACGTCGGACGATCCATTCAAATCAGATCCATTTGCTCAATTCAAAACCGTCTCGTTCGCGGATCCATTTTCCTCTGATCCGTTTGAGGTAAAATTAAATGTGCATAAACGAACCAAGTGTATGTGCATGTAACTATTATTATTATTCTAGAACAGGTAAGCCTGGTATAAAATCCATGTCTTCCAATCTTAATTCCCGCGTCTTTCATCACGGACGTTACTTTTTAAAACATTATTTTGTCTTTCATCAGGAAAAAGATCCATTTGGTAGTTCAGATGGAAAATCGCCGGTATTTGTTGTGTATTTGTTTGCCTAGTTTTGCATGGGTTTTTCTTGAAATTAGCAAAAATATTTTTGTTATAAATTTTCAAGTTCTCAATGCTATTTCTCGTGCTCGTTGATAACAACTGTGCCTCTTGTTTATGGACACAGGGTAGTCCATTCAAGTCGGATCCATTCGCGAATCCGGTAGCCTCCGATACAACGCCGACATCATCATCTGATCCCTTCACCACTCCTGTAGATCCATTTCAAGCCACATTCCCTAATGAAAAGGTGAGTAATGCACCTCGACGCGCAATCTACCAAATAGTGATAATTTCAACGGTTGTATATTATCTATAAAAAAAGTTTAAAGCTAGAATAAAACTAGCTTATAATTAATTAAAATAAACTTATTGAGGTTTAATCTAGGTTATGCCAAACGTCCGGCAAACTTAGAACGACTTCGAAATAATTTTCCACTTGTTTTTTTTTAGAATTCCACAGATGATTTCTTCTCAGGGGATCCATTTAAATCTACATCAAAATCTAGCAGTTCTAGTAAAGATCCATTTCAAAGTTCGGATTTCTTTTCTGGAACTGATTTGTTCGACGGACGACCGGACGACGGTGCCAAAGAAAACAATAAACTTCCTGAGAATGATGCCTTTTCAAGTACCAAAACTGATCCATTTGGTTCCAGCTCTACCAAGAGTAATAATGATCCCTTCACTGCATCATTTGCGAGTTTTCCTGAACCTTCAAAGCAAAGACACAATAAGGTATACCCACTTAAAATAATCCACTTAAAGGTCAAACCTCCTGTCAGAATGTATTTGAAAAAAAAATAAAATAACGCTTAGTTGTCTTTTTAAGGGAACAAAAGCAGAAAAAGACATGATTGAATGGGCAAAACGACAGAGTAGAAAAGATGAAAAGGACAGACAAAAGAAATTAAAATCCTTACAAGATGAGGAAGAAAAACAAATAGCTCTTGCATTGAAAAAATCGTTAGAAGAATCAAATGCCTAGTAATTGCAGGGAAAACCCTTTTAGTTCAACTTGAATTCAGGATTTACTCCCAATATGAGAAACTCTGAATATAAAATTGAAATCGTGAACAAATTATATATAGTTATTGCTGCCGAGCCTCAGCGAGGCAGCACACTATTCTGGACGTGCTGATGTTTCTCCAGAGTTCACTCGACCCAGGCTTTTGCGCGCATTTATGTATTGTCGAAATTTGGATTCGATTCTGTCTGTCCGGAAAGATTTTTGTTCCGGGGGAATAATTAAGCGTGCGTATGTTTAAAAAATTAAAGGGGGACGTACGGATTATATCTTGTAAATTGTAACGCGTGTGCAGTCTGGTGCAATATTGATGAGCTGGAGTGCGAATGCAAACTGCCAAGTAAGTATGGTTTTTTCCTTTCTGCCGATTTCCATCAAGGTGATGAACTTTTTAGTATTTACTCGAGAGGCAAACAATGTGCTTTTATGAGTTTATCGGCGCTTCTTACGGCCCGAAATTTTCCCTTATCGTCGTGGTCGAAGATTACATTTAATAATGTCTTATTACAAAGGGGACAAAATGTACATACAAGCTCTTAATAGGGGCTTTATAGTCTTACCGTCAGGTGTAGATTTTTTGTCTGTGGAAAACTTAGGTACCAACATATGTTAGTATATCAAAGGAAGAAAAATGTATGTAATTGTAAAAGCTCTGAACTGACACTTAGTTCTAGACTGTACCAGTACAATTATGTTCATTTAATAAGTCGCCATATCAGCTGTGTTTTGTCATAACAACTACAGATAGCTGATCTGCCCGTTTTTTAAAACCCTAAAGTCATCAGCATGACTTTGCCCATGAGGCTCAACATATACTGGAGGGACACAAAGGATTAGCCCAATCATTGTACATGTTAGTTAGAGACAACTGAACACAATTTTATGCGGCAAGTCCCATTGAGAGTCTGAGAGAGTAAATAGTATTTACAAATTACAGACACCAATACTTGAGAGTTGAGACACAAACAGTTTCAGTAAACCATGAGAGGGTAATTGTACATATTTTATGAATCCACCAGTATTTTATGAATGATATCTTTCCTCAATATTTGTAGATGTCTAGATGATAAAATCATGTGCAATTCACATAATGCTACCAGGTACTGCAATTAATGTTTGCCAGGGTGAATTAGAGCAAGTTTGACCTATGATACATGCAGACCTTAGTTAAATAAAGGTGCATGGTGTATACCTTGTTACCTTCAATGCATCAATGGACATGAAACAAAAATAACAGAGTAAACTACAGTAATTACAAAACGAATCAAAGTGTTTAGAAAATGCAAATTAAATTATGCCCAAATTTACTACATTATTAGAATGTAGAAAGTATAATTAACTTTCACCTCAGCCTGTCATGTATGTAAATATAAACGTAATCTGACACCAACCCTGGTTAACTCGAACCCCCGGTAACCCGAACAGTTTTTCTTGAGAGTTCGAGTTAGCGGGGGATATATTTACATAATATATATTGTTAATCTATTGAATATCAGGAAAGCTTATCAATTAATACTTAAGCATCATAGATCTGTAACTTCTTAGTCAGTTTTATCTTGCCTATAGCAGTTTTATAGTTGTTATATTGAATTTGCTATATTTTGTAATAAATTATATATTTGTTCAAATGTTTACATATCAAAGTTTTCCTTATAATCATATATAATCAAGTATGATTAACTGTATGCTGCTGGTTCTTTTTCCACTCCAGTTAAGTTAAGCTATGTTCATGAATCTTGTTATTGTGCCCTCATTGTCACACTGTTGCCCTTGTTTCTGAATAAAACTGTTATCCATAAAATTCATCTGAACATTTAAATAAAGATTTTTAACTTAGCACTTTTGAGAAGTGTTTTGTCTATTTTAGGCAGTTGTTATACAACATTTGATACTAAGTTGTTTGAAGACGCTCCCACGCTGCTCCCTGGTTATATGATTATATTGTAAAGATTTTTAATTCAGATCTTCGGCAGCAATTTTTCCTTCTGATAAGAACGTCTAGTATATATATATATATGAATTAGAATAGTTTTTCTACGTAATTCCCGGAAAGCAAGTATTGTGGTACGGTAATTTTTCCACAACACGTATTCCAGAAAAGGAGTAAGAAATGTTGGAAGCCGCAATATACTTTTGCTGTATGATGCGGCTCTGTCAAGCTACTAAAGATTTCCTTGACATATTAGTGCGTGGTATACCTCCAGGGTGTGACCCTAAGAATTGCTTTCAGTCAGGGCAGCGTGAAAAGATTTTCTCAGGTTTTAAATTTCTTGAATCAATACCGGCCATTCTGTGTAACGATCATGGGATATACCATCGCTTATGTCATGGTCTGACTGTAGTATACATTTTCAACGTGTGTAGATAGTTTCTCAAGACCACATTAATTAATAAATGCCCTGAAATTGGACATTTACCTTCTATAGTCATTTACAGGTCAATGGCATGAAAGCAAAGAGGTTGGAAAGCAGACGTAATGTCTAATGTCAAATACACACAATTAACACTTGCCAGTAAGATGGCTGCCTTTCTTGGGCACTTTTACACCCCTAGGCCAGTTTTCTACTGACGATAATTTTCACGTGACGCGACATTTTACTTTTGTTTCAGAGCTCTCTGTTAGTGGAAAACAAGCATCTAAATCGTTTATTTGTTCATTTCTTACCTGGATCTTTGTGCGGGCGAAGCAGCTTCATGCGGGCCTGTTGCCTGTCAATAGACGGGCTTCAAGCCTTCAAAAAAGAAATTAAAGCGCGTTTTTGTTATGTATTTAGATCACTGAGCTATAATATAATTCCTGGAGGACCGGCTCGCGACCAAAAAGTGAAGCAAAAAACATGGCGGATTTCGGCGTTTGCTGACGCCAGATTGACGCCACTGGTTCCTATTCGCCATGGTAGTTACCACTGACCAAGGCTCAATTCTGAGCCCGCTACAAATGCACTCCCCCCTGGTTTTTGTTAAAAATAGTATTCAGTATTTCAGTTCTCATTATTATATTTTCCGAAAAAAATTTAAACGTCAGTCAATATTTTTGAACTGAAAACTTTTTGATCAGATATCGTTCGACGTTTTTGTGAAGATATGAAAGTCGTACACGTTACTTCTGTCAAAAACAGGAAACAAATACCAGATATATAATAAAACTTCAAGAAATTTGCCGAAACGAAAATGCAGTTGACTGACAGGTAAATATATTATTCATAAATTTCATTTTTTCGATAAAATTTCACCATTTTTTTTCGTTAACAGTCTTTAGATAGATGTCGTTGCTTATATATTTAATATTTGACCAAAAGACGGCGGCACGAGAAGTCAAATGTATAGTTTGAAGTTTGAACAACTACTAAAAAGATTACCCTATAGTTTGGAAGTAATTTATTTTACATATTACATACATATATTACAGGCATTTTCTTCCAAAGAACGCTAAAAGGTAACATAATGTAAATTCAAGTCCAAAGAAACAGAGGCTAAGAATCATTGGGAGGATGAAGATGTGCAATTTCAACCAAGGGTAGCCTGCCTATTTGTTTAGCTGGATTTCATTAGCCAGAAGAAATAGTTTTTCTGTACTGAACTATATCAGCATATATCATGTATATTGATGAGCTTATTAGCTTAAACCTATAAGGATGAACTATTAAATTGAAAGCTTCCAGGAGTCAGCACCATGCAGTGGTCAACACTATAATTGTCTGACTGCACAAGCTATGCTCTTTCCATGGTATAAAACCAATAATTATGGCCCCTGTGCAGGTCATATGCTTTTCTATATTTGCAAATGATAATGCAGAGGCTGCATTAAGGAAGATTAGAACCAGGGATGTTTATAGGCCAAGATAGCCATGGTAATTATTATTGATTATATGCAAAAGGGGCTTACCACTTACCAGCTTCTGTCAGATTAGCCTGCAATGACTGGAAAGGTTCTTTGGAAATGAAATAAACAAAGGCTTACCAATTGTAATATTTATTTTCTTTTAATAAAACATTGTAAGTTGTAAAAATAATAAAACAGTTTCTGTATTTAAGAATGTGTGTAGTTCATGGGTATAATAGTATGGTTGTCTCAATTTAATTCTCCAGAATTTTGCATAACATGCCTCCACTTGATCTACCAAACCCTATGTTATCCCTGCAAAAAGAAAGATATGTCAGAGATTAACTGTATGTATAATACACCCTGTAAGTGTTGACAAAATTAGTACAGATAATTTAGTGTCAGCCACTGAGGCCATGATGATGCCTCAGTTGGAAGTGTGAGTGAATTTAGGCAAGTTATTCTCAGACCTTGCTCCTTCAGATTATATTTTTGTTCCTATTGCATCTTTTATATACTTTGATCTAATATATCTTGTATGATTTTTCATGAAAAGATGGGTTATAGACACATTGATGATTGATCTGGTTAGACCTTAGTTTTGGCTTTTAAATCAGTGTAAAATATAATGGATAAACAAATATTAATAGAAATATGTTTAGTTAAACAAATTAAATGTTAGTAAATTTATCATTTCTGTTTTCAGATCTTTCATAGCCGTCGAACTACGAAGCTATATTTTTTACTTGACGTTCAGAGTTCAAACATCAAAATTGCGAAAGCCTTTTTAAAACTCTTACCTGAGTGCAAATCGCCAAAAATTTCCTCTTTAATGAGTAAATTGCGGTAGGAACAAGCAGAGCAAATAGCTGCTTCTTTGTTGAAGTTGAAAAGAACCAGCAAAAAAGGAAAAAAATCCATGTTTTTGTTCAAAAACAAAAAATTTCGTAAAAACAAAATCCTGTTTTTATCGAAAACCAGGAGGGTGCTCGCATTTTTTCATGCTTTGGATCGCGGTTGGTCAGTGGTAACTACCATTGCAAATAAGAACCAGTGGCGTCAATCTGGCGTCAGCAAAGGCCAAAATCCGCCATGTTTTTTGCTTCACTTTTTGTATTTCAAAACATTAGGAGCCGGTCCTCCAGGAATTATATTATAGCTCAGTGATTTAGATAGTGTGAAATTTTAGTATTACGACGGAAGTCAACAAAAACGGTACATAATGTAGCATGAATCATCATTTTATGGCCTTAATTCTGAACGAAACAGAATACGTTGTGTAAAGTGCGGTAAAGATACGCTTTGGACGTGTTAAGGGCGATGCACTTATTATTTTCCCCACGCTTGGAACACACAATTCAACGGAGATTTCGCGGACAAATATCGAGACGACAAATCTATATGCGCCATAGAAATGTTTGAATAATCGTACATAATTTGAAGAGGTGTAAACATTCTTCGTATAAAGTCGAGTAACAATGCTGTATGTATTTCTGGTTGATACTGGAGCTATGCTGACTTTTGAAATGGAATTAGCGATGGAAAGGTAAGGCCCAAATTATTCTTATTCAGCACCTGTTGTCTTTTTATCCTGTTAAACTGAAAGTATATGACAGTGTTCCAGCTTGTATAACTATTGAAGATTCTCTTTGAAGGTTCATGGCCTTGTTTCTTGAACATGTGAACATAATTTAATAAAAGAAAATATTGAAAGTATTCTAGTTAGAAATTAGAGTTTAGTAAGTTTTGTCATGACTTAACAAATATTTGGTACTTGTGATTATATACAGTCTGGGTATTAAACTGATGGCTGGCAAGCCAACCAGGTCATCTTTGAATAAGAAAAGGCTAATTATTCAGGATCCTCAGCAATGTACAGTGTCAGCATTAGTGTAGATTACATCAGCATTACCATATTTCAAAATTCTTCAAAAAGTCCATATTGTATCCAGGCAGCCATTCAGCCTCTATTGGTATTAACACATTAAATTTTCAATTGCAAATTCCTTTTGTTGAGAACCATCAACTCTGATCATTTGGCTAATATAATGTGTAAAATGAGATTGTAAATTGCATTTTATAGGTTTGTAACTTGACCTTCCATGGGAATGCTCCATGGAATATTGTGTTAATTTAGTGCTAAAGTGCATTGTGCATAGGCACCATAGCACTGGTATTTAGAGCATTAGGGTTCGTAAGATTAAGCTAACTAGTTGCTCTTCATTTGATATGTAGTGTTGAAGAATTAATGAAATCCATAACATCAACTTTCATGATCCCATTGGAGAAACAAGTATTAATAATGCAAGGAGGAGAAGCACTGGATCCCAAAAATCGTATTTGTAATTACTCAAGTGCAGGAACAGTAAGTAAATATCAAAAAGAGTAAATTCAAAGGGCCTATTGATCACAAAATTGTACTCAAAATAGTAGCATATCTGCACGCAAGCCTCAGTAAGTGATGGAAAATATAGATCTCACATGCATGCTGACCAATAACTCAATGGCTTCTTATTTGCCATTATTCTCCATGATTTACTGGTTTTAATGATAAACATGGATTTAAATACAATTCACCTACAACTCTAAAAGTGATCGTATGTGGTTCTCTAGGACCTAAATTTGCAACCTAAGTTCTTGGAATCACACATTGACCTTGGGTCCAAAAGAACTAATTTTCTACTATATACAGGTCATTGTGCTCAGGGAATTCATCGGATGATAATTGGGGGGGTATTTAGTCATATGTATATTCAGCTTTGCCTGAAAGATTTCTATTGTATGCTATTGCACTTACAAAAGAAATCCGTTGGGCAGAACTGAATATGGGAATAAACACCTTCCCAATAGACCTTTCCTGTTTAGCTGTCAATTTTCAAGTGTTCAATGTGTGACGGTAGTTGATTATCAAGCAACTTTGAGTTGCAATATCTCTCTGCTTAGAAATGATTTTGTAAGAAAACCTTGCCAATTCTTTTTGCTTTTTTGTTCTAAATTGATCTTGATAATCAACTACTGTAACTAAAGCATTGTACGCTAAACAATCTATTATACTGCCCTAATTGTTCCCTTATGACTTCCTTTTTTTCTAGGAACACAATCCAATATTCCTATTTAGCAAAACAACTATTGAGTCACCAATGCCACCTTCTCCAAGTTTGAACTTAGGATCAGGTAAAATCTCTAATCTTATTGTATGTTTTTTTTTGAAAGTTTTGATTTGTTTCCAAATTTTCAATTTGTTTTATTCTGTATAGAAATCTGTTTACACTGTTTACACATGCAATGTTATACTTGACTATATGTCTATATCACTGTCAATTTTGTTCAGAAATGTCACTTAAGGAAGAAGTGGAAAAGTCGCTGTTGTTACCTCCCACATATGAGACTCTTGTATCCAGGGCAAAGCTAGCCATGGTATGTCAATTTGCAAAAATGATATAATAACATTCTGCTTTTTGCATATTACAAACTGGTTCAGCTAAGATACATAGCCACCTAAATGCATGTTTCCAGTTTCGCATATTAGGATTATTTATATATTTCATTTGTATATTATCATTTTTAGAGGTTCCAGGATATGGGTGCTGAATTATTGCAAAGTTGTGTTACCCTTATTAATGAACAGCATCTTCAAAGACAAGGATGGCTGGCTGTGGTTGCAAACTTAGAGAGTATTGCAAGGTATTGGAGAACTATTTATGACATTGAGTGAATCTTGTACTGTGTATTGTAATTTCTTAGAACATTTAGTTGTATGGAATTGTGAAAAATAAAAACATGTTCTCATGCCAAATTTTTGGCCGAAATAATAATCCGATGTTTGCATGTTTGTTTATCTCATCGCATATGCCAAGATTTGAATAGCATGCCCCAAGAATAGTAATCTGGGGTAAACAGGTCTTAAAATTTGTTTACCCTAATGTCTTCTACAGCAAATTTGAAACCAGGGGAAGCATCCTAGAACAAAATTATACAGATTTTTTGAAGATTATTCCTGAATATAGATCACTGCTTGACAGGTGAGATTGATCTCTTTAATCTTCGTTTCATATATTTTTTTATGTCATGACAGTAATTATTATTAGACACTTCAGAAAGGATTAACTAAAAACACATTGCAGTTACATAGAATCCATTTCCCCCTCTCATTCCCTCCACTCATAAAAGTGCATAAAAGACAACAGAAAAGGGGAATTCTTGCGAAGTATTATATATTTCAAGTGATCTATTTCAAGTGAATTTTACTGTTCTATTTAGTTTTCAAGATGTTATTGATCAACTTTCCAAGCTTCCGGTGTTTCTTTGTCTGATAAAAGATGATATGAAATCACTCATATCTACAGATGGTGTACCCACTCTTTTGGATTGGATAAATGCTCAAGTAAGCTTTAATGTTATTATAAGTATGTACATCTGTCATGATCGGTGAACACAAATGCACCCATCCTTACTGTTGAGAGTTGGTTAACAGTTAATTAAAATTGTATATATAGCCTAGTGATACAAAACCTTTGTCATGCATTTTTACTTAGGATGAGAGAAACAGTCTTGAAGACATGGTCCGTCAGTGTATTGATGCTTTGGGACAGTTTCAAAACTCTTCATTAGTTGAGATAAAGAATGACCAGGAGCATGTACTTGGTATGGGAAATTTTCACTTGGACATTTTCTCACAACAAGAAAACACAATTATGTAACATGGATATGCAGACCAATTGAGTGATATGCTTCCATGAATGAGTCAACAAAAACTTTTCATCTTCTTCAAAACTTTATATCCACCTTGTAAAGTTTTTCACTTCAGAAATCATCCAGACCGCAGGTCGACCTTGTATAATGTACCAAACATGTCATTTGTCTTTGTTTTTCCAATGTAACCTGTGTCTTTGTTCATCACCTGGTTTCTCAATCGTTTCCAGGAGATGTTTCGAACAAGAACATCAAAGAAATTGGTGGTTTAGAAGAACGATTGAGTATGCTGTCGCACCTTTGTGATAAAGCTAATTCACTGGGCCAGGAACAATCTGATATGGCACAGGTGAGTTTTCTTTCAATTCCAAGTTTGAAAAACGGCACTAGTTCTAGCATAGGCAGCCCTGATCCAAGCATGTCATACACAACACAGTCGAGCCCGTAGCCAGTTTTTTCTTACTTTAAACTTTGAGTTCATAATATTACGTAATTACGGCAAAAAGTCGCGATTTGCGTGTAAGTCATCCCTAATTGATTGAAGAAACGATTTTGACTTAATCAAATGACATCACAAAAGTAGCCGCCATTGAATGACGTATCTTGCTTAATTACGTGCGTGCGCATACAATTGATATAAAGCCCTGACGTAATAATTAAATTTGTCATAAATGGCCAACTGCGAAAGAGAAAGTTTAATTAAAATGTTGTTTTCTTCTTGTTCAGGGATTTTCTCAAAACCAAGTGCGTGCACAGAATATCGGAGATCCTTCTGTTTTACCAGATCTTTGTTCCAGTCATCAGGCTCAACTGTCGCTCATGATGCACAACCATACACAATTAAGGTGATACAAACTTTCAAATAATAGTCTAATCCCGGTGAACGCGTGAATACTTCATTGATATTTTACTGATTGTGTTGTAATTTTAACTTGTCCTCATTTGTTTTAATATACCGAATTTGAAAGTATGGTGCATGTGATAATTGTGATTACAAAACGTTTACCAATATCCCCGTCTATTCGACCTCTGTTGGTGTAAAAAAAAAAGATTTATAAAAACAGTCGTTAAAAGTTTGGAAAGAGGAAACTGTAGTTTGCATTTCTTTTGATCATCGTGAATAACTTTCCCCATTTACCATTATTCTGTTATATCTCAATATTTTGCGCTTATAGAGATATTCGAAGGAAATGCGCCAAAGCAAAAGACGAGCTTTCTGTCAACTTGCACGCCCGCCTCAGGTAGTGATTTAACTTGTGGAATTAGGAGGTTTTTTAACTTATTTTAATTTCGATGTAAGCCCTGGGTATAACATAGCACAGCACAGACAGTCTTAGGTCTGGTCACAAAGGCACACACGGGACCTGATCTAATCGACAAATCTTGCGTTGTTAAAGGTGGGTGATGATGATCGAAAAAAATATTTGTGATTGTGACAACAAGTTGGTGATGTATCATGAAAGCATGAAGCGGATGAAAAAACGGTAATGTGTCCAATAAAATCAAGCCTCAACAACGGCTAAAATCTACCTCGATGCGAAGATCTAGTTCAAATATTATGTTAGTAATGTACAGTACATAACAAAGCATTTTTAATAAAGTGATTCAGATCTTCCTCGATGAGTTTGAGCATGAGTAAGCTCTCAAAAACAGGCGTTCATCACTTGCTTCTTGATTATTATAGCGTGGAAATTTTGGAACAAATTAAAGATGCTCCTCGTATTTACGCTATGACTGTTAAAGAAGTTGTACGAAGGCGCGAATTTTCATCGCAGTTTTCAAAGGTAAACTAATGACCGTGTACGCGTGTTGTGAAAATTGAAAATTTGATTAATTTATAAGCCGACATGTTATGTTTTTAACTGTTTGTTTTATCAGTGGGCCAAAGATGTTTCCCAACAATCAAATGGAGTTTATAAACAAGAGATCGCCAGCCGTCAGGATTACTTGGACTTCGTTGGTAAATCCGTGTTTAATATACCTGTTTAATGTTTTACTAAAACTTTTTTAAATTAAAATCCTTAAAGAACTTTTTTTCAAAAACGTTTAGGCAACCATTTTCTTAAGAATCTTTTCACTGGAATTGATGACATGCCGACACAATTTGTTGTAAGTGTTCGTCAAGAAATGTATTTTAGTTCGGGGTCATTTGTGTGGTGTCAGTTTGCTAGGGTCAAACAATGACCTGCGCCGCTGACATTTATAAAAAGATATATAAAATGCGTATATGAAGATAAGATATTGCATTTTGTGTACCCTTGGTACTTGGAAATGAATGTACGTGGGACCATATCTGACTTCTTGGCATGAGGATGTGAGCGTCAAAGACAACGTGAAAGACAAAAAAATTGCGAGATGCGCCCATGCAAGCTAAATCTGCATATTCTGTACTCGGCCATGTATTCACATCACGTTTGTTAACGGGTTGTTCAGGTAACCTTGCATCTCGAATCGGATTTCGTCAGATCAATGAGTAAGTTCACACATGAACTGATCTCATAGACTTCTTTTTATTACAGCCCATTCCTGAAGATTTTGATAATGATCTTCCTCCTCTGACTTGTGCTGATCTACAAGAACTCAGAAACCTCGTTCCTAATATATTTGATAAACAATCAATACGGAACAAACCGGGCGAAGACGTTCGGATAATAACGTTTGGTAAATCATTAAGCTGCAACGATTTGCCTTCGGTCAACGAGTTTGTAATGAAGTCCTCACTTGATGAAATGGATGGTAAAATGGATAATAGAACTAAAGTAATAGGTAAATCGAATGAAATGGAGAGGATAAGTGTAACCACACAAACCATGGAACGTCATGACATATTATCATCTAATATAGCCATTAAAGAAAGATTACTTACGAGTATTAATACTTTACGTAGCGAACTGCAGCAATTAAGGGAAACTACAACGTCTTGGGACGAGAGTGTGAAGAACTATGTTAATGAACGATTGTTTGTTTGTGAAGAGTTCAAACTAAACGAAAGACTTAGATTACTGGCAGCGGAAAATGATAGTAAAAGTCTCAAGGAGTTGACTAACAGTCTTGATGCGATGAAAAAGAAAATATCAAGTCTAAATTCTGAAAATGAATCATTGAGAAAAGAAATTGAGGCGAGAGATACAAGTTTTTCGGAGAAAGAAATGAGATATCGTAATGATCTTGAACGGCAAAAACAATATGCAACTGAATTAGAGTCTGCAAAAGAGACTTTTGAAGCTGAGCAGCAAATACGTTTCAACAGTGCTATTGGTCGTGTTATGAAGGAAAAGGAGAACGCTTTAAAGAAAGCCGACGAACAGTTAACCTCTTTCAAACTTTCACAAGAGAAAAAGGACGAGAAACTTCAAGTATTGTTTAATGAAAAGGAGACGTTGCGTCAGGGGAGTGAAGAATATGCAAGAAAAATTGTGGAAGCACAAATTGAGATTGATAAGATGAAGAAGGAAATGGAAAGATATATTATGGAAACACAAATACATTTGGAGGAAAAGGAACGACAGTTTAATGAAAAGTTAGAACATGAGAGAAAAGAAAGTGCATTAATGCTTGAAACAGAGAGACAAAAATGGGAAACAGACTCTTCAGGATCTGGTTCTGGGTGAGGTTTTTATCATTTCCCCTCCACCGTATAGTTCCGATAGGCGGCATGGGTTTTAGGGTGGTGACAGTCGCGTTTGCAAACTAGAAGGCTTTTCAACAGCCTCCATAATTTTGGCCATTTTGTTTAACACCTGCTTGTGACTAACAACATCTCCAGTAGCCTGTCTAAACCTAATGACTCTTATTCTACAATTAACGATTGATCCGTATGGTCTAGTAACACTGCCATCTCTTGACTATTGCTAAATGATGTCTGAGGTGCATAATTTAAATCACCACTGTAGCCACTGCGATACTTCGTTTTGAAAAGTTTTATAAATTACCGTAAATGATTTTCTTTCCACGCAGTTTTCCTATCTTATTTGCATTTTTTTTCAATTTAGGCAAATCATTAGTGAACTGGTAGAAGCCCGTCTTAATAAGAGAATAAAACTCTTGGAAGAGGTATGATTGGTTGATGGTACATTTGTGAACTATGCATATATGTTTAAATGTTCGCGTGGAGAACGACTACACTGAACTTGTTTAACTCATTTTTCTGCTACGCGCTTTCTTATGTCCATAGGAGAATAGTTTATTGAGGGATCGTCTGAAATCTGGTCCAGGTATGATTCTAACGGGAAGCATCATTCTTCATGGACTGCATATTTCGTTTGAGGAATTACAGCTGAGAAATTATAGTTTGAGCAATATCATTTATATTTTGATCAAGGGGTCCCCTCCGGGCGTTGATTAGCCGGTGTCACACTTGTTGGAAACTTACTCTGATTTAATATCGACAATTTTTGCGACGAACAAAAAACACATCTTGAATTTGGAAACTACTAAACTGATAATAGATCATATTGCCCGCCTCGTTTTCAAGCTATTTTTGCCAAAAATTTTATTTCGTGTAATATTTTTTATCTTGATTGTTGTTCTATACCCTCGTTTTTGTCTCTTCTGTCACGTTATCGCCATGATTTCTAAGCATTGTGTAACGAAGTACATAATTTTTTTTCCTTTGTCTACTTTAGTTTATCCGCAACCCCTCTCCCCTTCCCAAGTGCCCTCATTTATCTTTTATATTTAGATTGTGATGAAAAGCTATTGTTTGTTGAATTACAACAGGTTGGAAACTGGTTGGAAAACTTGTTTCATTTACTTGTCGAGGCTACTAACTAACCTTTAAATCAGGGCCTATAATTGAGTGGGGGAAAATTACATATAGAAAAATTCTAATATAGCTATATCTCGTGAAGTACTCATGTTTGGTTTTAAATTATTTTTTAGTCACTGGACGAAAAATGCAAGGAATGCATTGCTCTTCAGGATCAACTAGTGAGTCCAGTGTATACCAAGCAATTGTTTTATAAACTATTACATCTATAATATCAAACATTATTTTTGTAATTTAAGCAATTTATTGACCAGGCGATCTGAGCACTGATGCATGCTAAATTACTACCCCAAAATCACCTTTCCTTTATAAAAATTAGTGTTTGCAAACCCTATATTGTTTTCATTGCCAAAAAACTTTATATCAATATATTTTCTAGAAACTTTTGCAACAGAAGCCTCGTAGCTCTCAAGTTGTTTCCAAAGAGTAAGTTTCTTAACTACTTATTAACTATAGAAGGACTAAGTAATTAAGCTTGTAGGTACACCACGTAAGTATATAATACTGCAAAGCTTTCGGTCCGTTAACCCGGGCCTTCATCAGTGCAATACCCGGTAAAGGCCCGGGTTAACGGACCGAAAGCTTTGCAGTATTATATACTTACGTGGTGTACCTACAAGCTTAATTACTTATCGATTGTCACCATGCAAACGTACAAGAATATTATTAGCTATAGAAGGACTACTTTAAGAACAGTATTTTCCTTCTTTTTCATTGCAGTCTTCAGAAAGGTGATATCGTTGAAGTTTATTATAACGATCCATATGAACTCTACATGATCAGAAGCGAAGGGGAAACGCTTTATTTTGTTCATCCTGACTCGTTGGTTAATATTGATTTACCAGGTAAGTCTGTTCATGCAGTTTGTATGAAATGTTTACTGTTCGTATACTTCCTGTCATACACACTACAGTTAGCTTCTAGGATCAAGACCTATGATGCATGAGTGAGAACAGTTTCACTTCAATCAGGCAAAGTTTTCCTGTTAAAAAAATATGAAAAGATAGCGAAAAAATAATAATTTAACTTTTACATGTGGTTTTGGATTTCGTTTAATAATCGGTTCAAATTTCTTGTAAACTTCTTCTCTGCCCTCCCATTTCCTTGGCGTCCCTGCATCTGATCCTGAATTGATTTCCTATCCACTAATCTCAATCTTTTTACAATTTACAGAATTGAAATCAAGGTATGTTCTGCTTTTGTGTGGATATCTAAAAATCAAATCGAGTATATAATAATTCATATGCCTAATGTTTAATGATTAATGTTTAGGCATACATTTCACGCACAAATCTTGGACAAGGAATATTGTCAGGCCAAGAAGGTATATGGATCTCGTATAGTCGTATTTAATTAACTGTTTGGTCTGCAATGCAATTCCACTTTTGAAATATGTAAATTAGTAATGAATCTTCTAAATGTATGTAAGAAAACATTCGTGGAGGCACAAAAGTTCTTAGTTGCACTGTGTAACACGGCCTTTATTTTATCCCATTACTTATATAGCCACCCTAACACATCTTTATCTCACACGCAGGCCAATAACCGATTCAAAGTTACCGCTGGCACAAAGTTCTATCGTGTAAAGGTCAGACCTTGGGATCCCTCAAGCTCACAAAGTAGACCGTCATCATAAATTTAAAGTTTTGAATGTAGAAAAATCGGGACATATATCAGAATATTTGTACTGCTTAATAAATACAAAACGAAACATAAATCAGATTCAAACTTAACATGATCAAACCCCACGACAATGTAATTCACGATGTTTCCTCAAATATTTTCCTGCTTGCCCACCTGCATGAATGTGGAAAAATTTTTGCAACAACATTTGCGAAATGTTTCCCTTATTTGGCCAGGCATGGAAATTGAACGAAAACTCCCTCCTCTATAGAGGCTTTAAAATGCGCTTGCTTTTATTTAAAACCTTTGCGTGGAAAGAGTGGGAAAACACTATGGAAAACACAATTTTCTCAACGATGTTTCCTGCTTTTCTTGGACTTTCTTTTGTACATGAAATCAAATTTTAGGACGTTACTGCTTATAGCTGTCTCGGTGTAGGATTAGTTTATTCCAGTATTCTGACAATAGAACACAATATTTACTAACACCATATAATAATGAATAAATAGGGGCCTGCATAAATAATCGATAGATAATCTTGTTCATATTCAACAAACTGTTTGAGCCTAGTAATAAGTTTTTACCGTAGTACAAATGTACTTCGTCAAAATCTTGCCAATGCAAAAGTTCATTTTCACACTGTAAAACTATAGGTCTATATAGCATGCCTATAGACTTCTGAGGGTACAGCAATATGTCAATGCTAATTTTATTTAACATTGTATATAATACAATTATTACAATACAATAACATTATTTACTATTTAATTCTCTATTTGAATTTCTAAAAATTTTCAAACTTGCGAAATTATGTGGCTTTTGTGAAGGTCTGCAAAACCTGCCTAACAAGGTGTACAATGTACATTGTCATACATCATGATCTGCAGATCTGGGAATGGTCTGGGGGCGTAGTGCATCTCCCTCTTTTGCTTTTATAACGCAGTTATTGGTGTGGAGTTCTTCGGATAGCAACGCTTCTCGATTCGTGCTAAATTAAAGGATATCTCACATGGTTTGTATCATGAGTCTCTTTGCAAAAATACGGTTGTCAGCCGTGCATTGAACCAGCCGTGTAATTAGATGAACCGGGTGGTGGCAGCAGTATTTGACACGAATGGCATGTTTATCGACAAATATCGGAATTATTTGTATATTTTTAACTCTTATAGCTTCTAGTTTTGGTGTATTTCAGTTCAAGAGATACAGCTACCGCAAGAAGAGTGGAAATGTAAGTAATTTTTTAAGGGGTTATTACTACAGAAGCGTCTGCCCAAATTTCTTTTATTTCCTATCCTGGCTCATATTCATTATTAAAAGAAGTAATTGCAAGTAAAAACGGTGCTCATTCGATGAAAGTATGAAAACATTTTCCCTCAATTTTGGTAACTTTGTTGAGTTGGTTCAATGGAAGTTTGTTCAACGTTGAAACGAACAATGTTTTCATTCTCAGGTGCCACCTTGAAAATTGTAAACAAATTTTGAAACTAGTGAAAAAACCATTTTTTTCCACAACTTCCATTTTATACCACCATGTGGAAATCTCCATAAATACAATATTGGTTAGCATGAGAAAAACATCCCCAAAGACATATTCAAACAATTCTGTTAACACTATATGACATGTGATTATTTTATAGGAACGACGGTATCGTTTAGAGGAGGAAAGGTGTCATAATGTGGATGAATGTCAATTAAAAAAAGGACTTGATAAAGAGAAATGTGTGAGAACTTGTGTTTCCAAACAGTGTTATGATGAACTATATTCTTGGAATGAGGTAAAAATATAATCATGTCTTGCAGTCTTATGAGCATTCATGTCAATAGCATTATAGATGTTTGAACAAGCAAAATTAACCTCTTTTGAAGGATAGATGTGTTTTATTGTCACATTCATGTATTTTTTATGACATTTTTCCTCATAATGAAGACCTACAGCACCTATTTTGTATGCTAAATTACACAGAATATGTCATTTTAATTATGGAAAGTATAATTTTTGTAATTAATTTAAAACAAAATTGAAATCAACCATATTAGTATTTTACAACAATGTCAGTTTAATTTCTAATGAAGGGAAACTTATGTTATGTTAACGTGAAATATTTTTCATACATATATTTAACTATCCCGATTATTTATTTTACTTTTCAGCTAGAAGAAGGTGAAATAGATGTTAGGCTCACATCATTTAAGGGATGTGTGGTTCAACAAATACGGGATCATGAAATGCAACAAAGAAGAAAGGAACAGCTGTAACACTAACATATATTATGTACAGATTAAATCACTTTTAAATTGCCACACAAAGCCACTGATAATTGCTTCAAATGACTTGCTCTAATTGACACACAACACAGTGCAGCTAGTAAGCTATTCATTTGACTTTTAACTAATATGGCCAAGTGTATGACTCAAAAGCCTGTCATCCACGTTTGGAAAAGGTTGAAGGGCTTATTGTAATTTTAAGAGAAAAATAAATGAGCAGAAATTCTGGTTATGAAGTATGTACTATTTTTGTTTCCATGACAATTCTATATAAATTAATAAACTTACAATTTCGAGTTAAATTTGTCAAGAATATATGCTAATATTATTACATAAAACAATAGAATATCAGTATTTCAGCTAACTAGTCATTGTCTTTAACCTTTCAGCAAATGAGAAATCGCGCATATTTTTTAGTCTACAAGTCAACAAGAAATATTAGCTACTTCTTGTATATTTGGGTTCTCTTATTTTGTTCGGAATACAGTGTGTCCCAAAAAAAGTACCCTTGAACAATGCCTAATGAATCTCGGGTTAGTCGGGCATGACTGTTATCTACTGTATTTTTCTTTATGGATTCGGCCGCAAAACAAGATGTTTAGGGGCTGTTAATTCACATGAGCCTGGTTATACCCGAAATTTTAACAAAGCGTGAGATGATTTTGTGGTATTAAAAGTATTGAAATAAGTCTTTGTGCAACAGAACAAGCACATGCTATTGTCGGGATGACTACACCACCACCAGAGTCAGGTTATACGTCGCATTTTGGTCGCGTCGAATGCATTCAAACAATAGATAATGACTAATGAATGGTAATCAAGCTTACATTATAGGGTGTCTCAAAAAAGACGCAACACTTAAATATGCAAGAACAATAATACCGCTCTAAAGCGCAATAGATAAGCACCTCTGGGAATTGAAAATGGCTCTTAATCCTTCATTTAAAACGCTAAAAGTCATTTTAGCTGAACTATGGTGCAAACCCGAACAATTTTAATATCCCCTTGCATATTTAAGTGGTTGCGTTTTTTTTGAGACACCCTGTATATGAGGTTTATCATCTCATTATCTATTGTTTGAATTGCATTCGACGCGACCAAAATGCGTATTATACTTAGGCCTTATTTCAATACGTTCATGTGAAGTGCCTCTTGCTAACAAAAACAATTAATTTCACTGTAATAGGCTTCATCAATTTGCTCATGCAGGCATTCAAAATTCCAATCTTTCCTAGCTCAGGAGAAGAATTAATCATATTAATTCATATCCAATCAAAATCATTGTTCAGCTGTCAGCTCGGAGCCTTTAACCAATAGCATAGCTTTATTTTCCAACACGAGGAGCAGGTAAAATAAAGTATCCGCTGATTCAACCTTGCACTGATATCATTTGGGCACTGGTCTTCGAGGTATAAAGACAAGTCACTTTTAAGCCCAGAAATTTCGACCCAAATTATCAATGATCCCGTCCTTTTACCGAAGAGAAGTTCGTCAGTATATCTCTCTCGTGACATAACACGTGGTGAAACGTGGTGAGACACCCTGTCATTGGTGTAAGAACAGGTAATATGCCTTTTTCATTCACGATTATCTTCTTGTTTCATAGACAGGTTTGGGCGAATGGTCTCATTTCACCACGTGTTATGTCTCTTTTCGCTTTCTGTTGGCTTCGAAAGGCTATAACACTAACGCCGTCCTTATTCATTTCAGGCAGAATTCTGAGACTTGCTAATGTACCATGCTAGTACCAGAGAATGACATTCGTGGGAAAAAGACTGATGATCGATAAATTGTGGCTGAAATGGCTCAAGATAACTCGCCTTTGAAGAGAGGGCACGACTAGCTTTTCTCTGAACTTATTGGTGAAATGAAAAAGGTAATATACGCTAAATCACATGTGGATTTATACAGAATTTGACGTGGCGTAATCTAGCTGCATCCTAGCCCGTAGCCACAAGCCACAAGCCTTCCCCCCGGTTTCAAACAAATTATATCTTTGAATTAAGTTCTAAAGACCTTAGCAGAGAACCAACGTTGCCTTTATTCTTTTCAGGTTGAGTTTAAGAACTGAGCCGAACTAAAAAAACGAAATGTAAAGTGGATTAGTGGCAAGAAATACGCCAAAGTTACGGCTGAAATTGCCTGAGATGACTCGCATTTTAGGGACAGCAAGTCCAAAGCTGCTCCCCCGCACTTCTTGCTGTAATAAGCAGGTAAAATATGTATATTTTTTGTCCGTATGATTCACAAGTGCTGCATGCATGGCCGGATAAGTTGAAACCCTTGATCGGTTCTTCATGCATCGTGCATGCGCTCAGTCTTTCAACTGAACATATACTTCAACGCATGTTTTTCTGCTAATTTTTAAGCTTTTAAGCAAACTTCTTAAAATCACCAGCTGTTGTTATAACAAAAACTACATTTGATTTATTTCAGGTGTTGAGATTTAGCGAGTCAAAAGTCACTTCAAACGGACGATGAACGTTGATAATAAAATGTAAGTATGAGCAAATTAACATTTTTAGATAGAGCGAACAATGGGGGGCTTAGTATTTTAAGGGAACGACGACGGGTGATAATGAAATATTAAAATTCATAGTCGTGTTCAGCTAGGAAAAGAAATAATTGAAATCCCAGTTATCCCACAGGCATTCATTACTTGAAAGACGTCGTTTGTGGTCCACATACAACAAAATGCATGCATATAATCGGGTGTTTTGTTTTCCTACATGCCAAGGCCGGCTACTTTGAGACAGAGGAAGGAATTTCGAACATGTACACTTTGACTACATCTAACTGCATGTAATACGACTATAGCTGAGAATTAGAAGTTTGTTCACAAACTTTTGTTACATATACCCCGTGACCTTGAATTACCCCGTTCAAGACAATTTTAGCTTTCTGCATCATTTTAAACGAGTTTTATAAAACTTCTACTGTTATGAAAAATATGATTTGCTTATTTCTATCTTAATCCTATTTCAGGTTGAGAGATCGACCGACGAACCAAAACGACGCCAATCAAAGCGATGCCAAAACGACGCCAAAAGCGGTAGATGCGACACCGAACGGCAGCGATGTTCCCCGACATCATCGTTACAGGTTAGAGTAGCCTGGTGGTCAAAAAATGTGCATGCAGGGCATCGTGTGATTTCACACGAAAATATATAGGTTAGCAGGTTCAACTGCGAGCTCTTTATGTAAATTGTACCGCATGTGAATTAGAGTTAATTTACATATTGAGGCATCGCAACAATGTTTTCAACCATAACGTTCTATACAGTTAACTAAGTTCTGGCCACCAGGAACATAGCTAATGCATGATGCATGTGTAATAAATTTGCATGTGAGTAAACGTGTTTCATAGGATCCGGCTTTGCGCTTAGGGCATCGGTTATAGGATCCGGTTTTGCGCTTATAGGGCTGCGCGTTTGCGTCTAGGGCTTGCTAAGGTTTAGGTTGATAAAATGTCAGAACTGCATGCTCGACACTAATATGAATTATTATAAGAAATGGCAACAAGCCTGCACACTAACGTAAATCACATGGCCTCAAATGGCAGACATAATCCCATAGGTTCTTTCTTGGTTCCATCTCTCGGAACTCTATTCTTGAGTAACTGCGGCTCTGAAATATAGATAGTTGATATAAGACCAAAATGAATGAATATCTACATGCAAACTACATGGCCTCAAATGGCAAACATGATCCCATAGGTTCATTCTTAAATCCATCTCTCGGAACTCTATTCTTTGGTCACTGCTTTGGTCACTATACTTAATATAAGGCAAACTGAATATGTATAATACCTTATACCTACATACAAACCACATAGCCTCAAATGGCAAACATAATCCCATAGGTTCTTTCTTAGTTCCATCTCTCGGAATTCTATATTTATATATTGGGGTATGCGGCTCGCATGAATTTAGATTTTAAGAAAACACATATATAGCCTCGAATGGCTTAAAAACATAACCTCCTTGGTTACATCTCTCTCCTTCTCTTTCCCTCTTGAAATGAACTTATCCGGACCTTTGCGGCTTTCGGAATTTAGTCGTATATTGTAAAAGTTATGATAAACATGCATGGCCACCAAATGGCATATGCATAAACCCCGTAGATCACTATTAGGTAACCCCGGTTGTAAAACTAATATATATATATAGGAGAAAAATTACGTTGAATGTAAATATAAAGTAATCTTGTCCTATACTATATTTTGTAATACAGTAAATTGATATGTTGTATGTATTTTGACACACATGCTTTGTAACACATGTATACGAATGTAAATGATTGACATTCATACAATAATGAATATACATTACAATATATTGCCATATTTACAACATTAACATATCACCATGCTGATCACGATCACGTTGCTGTTTTAGTTCATGAAAATTAAGTGACGAACACGAGTACTGAAACACATTAATGCAAACATACAATCGCCTTCAATGGCAAACGTAATCCAGTAGGCGTCTCTCGCTTGCAATAAGGCTTTAGCTACTTAAGTCAGAAACGTGCACTAGGTTAAATTTCTTTACTGTATGTCTATAATTCTGAAATATACACTATTCAATCAATCGCATTAACACACACTTTATATATACCAATGCATGTGCATAAATGAAAGAACACAGTAAAACATGCTTATAATAATTCACATGAAGTTAAAGGGTAGGAAGAGGTCGGCGTCATGTCATCTCGTGACGATTATATGCGTCATTGTTACTGTTAGTATATATAAATAGTTAAAAACAAAAAAAGACAAACATTGGCAGTGGCATTGTAACTTTGTTATTTTTCCAAGGTCTCTGTGAGACTTCCAATCATTTAGCATAATCGGGCAGTGCTTATGAAAAGAAAGGCGCCACTTTTCGTCTGTACTGTTCTGACTTTGCTGATTGGTCCGAAGTGTTAGCAGGTATCTTGGGATATCTAATAACGTTGCAGTGTTATTTTCATTGCTGTTTCTATAAGGGGCAGCTTGCTTCGGCTATACGCCTTGGCTGTAAAAAATATTCTGTGAAATTTTCAAACAAAATATTTGAACTCAATGCTGTTTCTATAAGAGCAGTTTAAATTAGCTATAAGCCTTGGCTCTAAATGTGTAATCTCGTACCCAAGCGAGGGTCCCGTGAATTCTTTTAGAGAAAAAATATTTGTTTCAATATAAGATCGGTTTGCCCTGGACGGTTTGGCTCAAATGTGCAGTAAAAGGAA